TTCATCATAAAATATTGGCCTTAAGGGAAGGTAAAAAGAATAACATGTACCCAGAACCCGCTTACGATGGAAACAGGTACTGCATCGGTTCTCTCTCTGTGTAACCTGTTGTGCCAGAACTCGGGGGCATAAAGCAATCAAATCTTGTGCATGGGATTGGTGGGTGAGAAGTCCCGGGACACTCAGCCGGGTGATCCTGGCTTGGGACCAGGATGGGGCCCGCGCTGCGGTCAGCTGAAGCCGCGACCCAGGTGGAGGGGCCGCGTGGGGAGGGGCTTCCCAGGGCTGCTGGCAGGGGTGCCCTTGGCGTCCACATGCAGGTCGCTCTCCATGGTACTGATCGAGCGTCCGGACAAAGTGGCGGCCACTTCCCCCAGACCCGACCCAGGAGAGGACCGCGGTGATGACCCGCTGTCCCTAGTCCCGCCTCGTGTCTTCTGCCTTATTCTGCCCCCCAGAAGCAAGTTACAGCATTCGGCCCACAGTCAAGGAGACGGGGCGTTCATCCCCACCTTTTGAAGGCATCGTTGAAGAATTCATGGACGCGTTTAAAATTTTTGTTCATTGACTGTAGAGGACCACCAGCGTGGGCTCTGTCCATGCCGCATGTACTGTGACAGGTGCTGCTTCACAGATGGGCCCTTGAGCCCCCCAGCGCCAGCGCCACAGCCCAGGCTGTGTCGTCCCCATTTTGTAGATGTGGAAATGGAGGCACCTACACGTCCTTAAGGCCCCACACGAGGTGCCAGAGCGGCGTGTGAGCCCGACGCTCAGTCAGCACCACGGAGAGCTCCATGCTCGCGGCTCCTGCGCGGTCCCCGTAGGAAGAAGGGAGGAGCAATGTTCCTAATACAGGAGCCAAACGAAGGCTCAGACTGAGCCGTGAGGAGATTGGACGATGGAGTGAAAGGTACGAGGCAGTGATGCACAGAACAGTAAATGCCTGCAACAGATGGGAACGCGTGTTACTACATCCAGTTGGGACAATGATTTGGCCACTTCTAGTACATTTGAAGAGGCCTGTCCTCTGTTCCCCCAAAATTCCGATCCTTGCGAAGTATTCTGGGCAGATCTGGCCCTTGGTCCCATAGAGATGCACCCAGGTGTTCCTAACAGCCTTGGTTGTAGCAGGGAGAAAGTGGAAACCGTTTAAACATCCAGGGATGGAAAATAGCTTTATGTTCCTACAATAAAATAGCACGCAGAGGTGAAAAGGCTTGAACTGCAGCTATGCTTTCACATGCATAATGGGAGGCAAAAAAGGGCAAGTTTCAGAAAAACACATACAATTTGATATCACTGGCTAGTGCAAAAATAGCAGGTGCAGGTAAATGGACAAACGTCGTAAGTAATAAACACACACCAACTGCAACAGCAGTTACCTGTGTGTGGGAGACAAGGGGTGCAACCGGGGAGGGGCTCCAACCATCCTGAGAATCAGGATGGTTTGAAATATGTCCACAGGGCCTGCTCAGGTAGCTCAGTGGGTGAGAGCATCTTCCTGATGCGCCAGGTTGTGGGTTCAATCCCCCTGCCCCCGGGCATGTACAAGAATCTACCAGTGAACACATCAGTAAGTGGGGAGACCTGTGTGCTTATTTTCCAGTCTGGAGATTGATACAGATTGGGAGATTATTCCAAAAATGATTGTGTGTTGCCAGCAGGGCAGGCTCTGGGGTTTGTGTCGAGAAGGACAGGGGACATGGCCTGGCCCTCGATGCCCCTGGAGGGGGTAGAGGAAGGACAGGGACATGTGCTGGGCAGAAGGAGATGTGGCCAGGCCGTCGCGGCTGAGAAAAACCCCTGTTCCTAGCCTTTGTTCCAGCCGCAGCGGGGGGAGCCGACCCGCCAGGCTTGGGGGGACAGCATTCGACCTCTGAGGGCCACCCAGGCCTCTGCGTCCACCCAGAGATGCAGGTCGTCAAAATAACGCAGCCCTGCTTGAGCCCGGGGGGCCCAAGAGGGCGGGGAGAGGGCGCTGCAGCCCAGAAAAGTCCCCTTTATCGTTGGAGGAAACGGGAAGCGGTGCCGGCCCCGAGTGGTAGTGCCCTTGGCCTTGAGTTAAACCGCTGCGGCCGCCTGGGAAATTAGAGAAGACAGACGCGAATAGAATGCTGATGAACGGTGGGGACCGGAGCCTGGAGCCCCGATTCCCCTGCCCGCCACAAGGGGCGCTTGTGCGATGCCTATAAATACACACTTCAAACCCAACTCCGAATCGCGTTCAGATATGGGCCCGCTACTGCGTACGGGGGAGCGTTATGTAAGGTGCGGCCCTCTGACATCCTCCGGGAGAGGTTTGATGATTCCGTGCGTTTGCAGGGAACCTGTGAGGCGTGGGCGATGCTCGGGCTGCAGACGAACAAGACTGTGCTTTCAGGGGACATGCAGGCTGAGGACCGGCAAAGAATTGCTGGCTCCTTCCTCCAGGGGGTCGGCGGCCCCGGGGCAGGGCAGCTGGAGCAACCACAGATGGCTCCGCGGTTCTGGAGGAGGAAGGAGGGGCTGGGCTGACAGGCCGGTGGGCGTGCTCCGGAGCTCCGGGGACCCAGGCTTCTGGGCCGGGCCCACTGCTCTCCTTGGTCACGACTTCTGGAGCCAGGCAGGTGCCCAGAGAGGCCAGCAGTCCTTCTGTCTGACCCACTTGGGCTTGTGGATGTAAGAAACGTCTAAACCTGTAAGAATTTGTAGGAGTTCACCTGAGTCAAACTGGTGACAATTGCTGGGAAACAAAATCTCGGTGGATTGAGGAAACGCTCCAGAGGATGGCAGCTTTGTGCCTTATTTTACATGTGAGAATCGGAGGAGAAGGCGGAAAGGGTTATGTGAAATCTGTTGGTGACAGACGAGGGAGGCAGGAGCAAGCAAAGCGGGGAAGTATCGGGGATTGGGTAAAAAGTAAAACGGGCAGGCACATAGTTCTTTTACGCGGGTGGGTACAGGATAGTTAACAGCCAACATGTCCAGCACATGGAGATGGTGTGCAGGGGACAAGATGACCGTGAGGAGCCTGCGGTCCGTGCTCCGGTGGGGGATTGTGCCCCGGGGGGTCTGGGAAAAGGAGATCGCACTGCCACTCCAAAGGTGTGTTATCATAGATGCAGAAAGACAACAGACAGGCTTCCTGCAGGCAAAGGGTGAGGCCGGTGTGGCTCAGCGGGTTGGGGGGTTGTTCTGCAAACCAAAAGGTTGCAGGTTCGATTCTCGGGCAGGGCAGACGCCAGGGTCGTGGGTTTGGTCCCTGGTTAGGACATGTGACCGAGGCCACCGATGGATGTTTCTCTCCTTTTTCTCCCTCCCTAAAAATAAGAATAAAAGATACATTTTTTTTTTTTAAAGTAAAGGCGAACCACTGTCAAGGAAGATACCAGCCTAGGATGCGGCTCCCCGCCAGGACTCGCTTTCAGTGAGGGAGTTTTCGTTTCAGACCCCCGCGTGGGGCCCCTTCCAGTCTCCAAGTTTGCGGGGCCCCCTTTGCGCATCCACAGGTCGCAGGGCTGGCTTTGCCAGAGTGAGGGCTTGAGGCTCCCTCCCCCGACGGCCAGCCAGTGTGGCATTCTCGTCCCCGCATATAACATTTGGTGGGTGCGCGGACCTCCAGGTCACCTCCTTTGGGAGGTCCCCGGAGGGAGGGGTTTGCCGGGAAGGAGGAACCACTGTGTGATGTAACGCGGTCCCAAGCCGAGTTCCCAAGGCTCTTTGGCATCGCAGTCTCCTGGCCGCGACCCTTGACGCCGTGCTCTCTGTCCCCGTTGTACGGGTGACAAAAGCAAGGCCCATGCCCTGACAGGCTTTGACAGGCAGTCGAAGCGCCATCCCCTTTGAAGGAAATGGAACAAATGTGTAAATGGCAGGTACCCCCCGGAGCCCAGGTGAATGGGTTACCGGCCTGCGTGGTCAAAGTGGAAGCATCCGCAGCCTTCTGAGGGCTAGCCGGCCATTTTCCTGCATTTGCGGTGCGCCAGTTTGGGGTGTCGGGGACTCCCCGACACTCCCTATGTGAAACCTCTGCTAGAGACGTCTGTCCAGGGAAATGGGAGCGATTGTCCGGCTCTGTGAGGCAAGTGACAACCCACAGTCCGTTGTCTGCCTGTGCCAGGAGCAAGCTCCGCCCCATCGCCTTGTCCCAAGGAATGACACTGTTCCGTGTGCCCTCACGCTTCCGTGGGGACAGATGAAGGCAGACCTCCCAACAGGCACAGCGGCCTGTGAAACGCTCTCCGCTCTTCGTTCCCGGCAGACGGGCCGGGGGTTTTGAAAGGAGCCGCAGGTTCCCCTGTAACGTATTCTGCCTTCAGCCCAGTGAGAGGCGGGAGGAGAGGCACAGGGGTATGATACTTAAGACCAGTACGTCCCCCCTCTTCTGGCTCTACCCCGGGCTTGCCGCTCGGCTCCTGCCCCTCCCCCGCCTCACCCTGGAGCCTGGCCCTCGAGCAGCCATTTGCAACGGCTGTCTGCTTAGGAGAAACGGGGGTCCCGTGGCCTCTCCTCTGTTCTCTTCATGAGCCCACCCTGTCCGAGAGGCAGGGTGGGTGGTGAACCTGGGCAGAGGGCACAAGGGGCGCCCCGCCCCTTGCCTCACTCTAGCCTCTGCCCCTTCGGCCCCCACAGGCACACCCTCCTCCTGACTGTGACCCCAGATACCGGTTCTGCCAGCCAGTGGGGTCAAGCTTTGTTGTGGGCATATGAATATTCATGAGGGCTCCGAGGTGCTTCATTGGGATGCAGGGTGGCCTCTCCTTCCAGCAGGAAGCGTAAGCCTTCCCTTTATTGGCCCAAGCCGGAGTCCCCAAGGCGATAGTTACGGATGAATATGGCTAAGGCGACGTTTTAATGATTTGTTTTCGGGTAATTCCTGGTCATCTCATTAGAATTATCCTCGGTCGGCTCTGACAAAGCCACGCACTCACTTGAATTTCTGTGCTTGAAGTTGCTCTCGGAGCCCCTGTGTCAGTTCTGAAACACTGGTAATTTTCTCTCTTCATTCTGTTTTATTCCAGAAAGGTTTCGTCCCCAGGAGGCCTTCCCGGACAGTCCGAAACCACGCGTCTTTGGTAAGGAATGCAGGCCTTGCGTGGAGTGAGGTCTTGCCTCTGCCGTGTGCGGAACGGGGTTTTGTGTTTTTTTTTTTCCTGGAGGGATGCGCCCTCCAGGTGGGGCAGGGCGGCCCTGTGATTATTTCCTGGGAAGCTGTGTGAGTGTGAGTCGGCGCTGGTCTGAGCGCTGGGGGTCTGAGGCCGGGGTCGGGTTCGCAGCCCAGGACCCAGTGAGCTCTGAGCTCGTTGCTGGGCGCCCCACGACCCCAGGACGAAAGCAACACACCCCCGATCCCCTCCTCGTCACCCTAACGCTTCTGTACATCCGCATCCTCGTTAAATTCATTTATTGGTGTCATCTCCACCCAGGTTCCTATACCAAAAGTAGGTATGTATCACCAGCAGTAGATGCCACTCGAAACCTTTTTCAATATCAAATTTGGGCAGCGTCACCAGTGTGCCAGAGTCCGCCATTGAGAAGTAACTGGGACCCTGAGCAGGAGACTCTAACTTTGGTTAAACAGAGCTTCCTTAAGCTTCTCCGGGATGAGGGGTGGCCCGTGTTGCTGTTGTCCTATGGGCGATGCTGTACTGTAACCCCAATCACGCTGACCCACCTTCTGCGTTAGGCTTTCTCCGGTGGGGGTGCGGGGTGGGGGGCTGTAGGAGCCGATGTGCACAGATCTGTAGGCAACAGAGAGCCCCCTCGGGGCAGACTTGCAGGAGGTGGAGTCTGGACTGCAGGTGAGCGGGCCCTTTCCTTCTTGAGCGAAGGACGCCCCAGTGGCTTGGTGGTAGGCAAGCTGGCGTTCGGCTGCGGGAGTTTGAAGACGAGGCGAGGAGGCCGAACTGGACGTGGTGTCGGTGTCCTGATGCCCGGAGCAGGTCAGAGCCTCTGGTGGGTTCTGAGGGGCCTCACGCAGGCAGGGGAGGAAGCGATTGGAGGGCAGCGGGGCGGGCGGGGCAGCGGTACCTTCGTTTATTTCACCGGCTGGTTCTGCATCTCTGGTCACTGCGCTGTGCTTGGGCAGGAATCCCCTGCCATCAGACGGGGCGGTGCTCTTGTCACAGATGTCCTGGGTGGGCTCTGTGTGGCTGTGGGGATGGGGCACACGCGCGTAAGGCATTGAGGAGCTGTCGGACAGCCAGCCCCATGGGAGGGAGGGTTCGCAGGAGCTGCGTGATTTTTGATGAGTTCGGGCCGAAGAATAAAGGAGCATTTTTCAGCTGTCAGTTTTTAAAGTTTGTGAATGTACTTCCGTGCTCTCAAGAAGGCCTTTCCACCCCGTCTGGTTTTCTCTTTTGGCCTTCAATGCATCAACCACCCTCCGCGGTGAAAATGCTCAAGAATTCCGGGGGTTCCGGGGAGGGAGGGGATTTGCTTGTAAGCAGCGGTCGGGCGGGCTGGTGAGGAAGACACCCCTCGCAGGAAGCGGTCTGACTGACGGCCCTGCAGTTCTGATCCCCGGGGGGCCCAGGCTCAAACTGCCACCCCCGGTTCCGCCGCCTTCCAGGACCTCTTCAGCGTGGGGTTGGCTTCTCGACGTCGCTCTTGGGGGAACTGGGGTTGTCCCTGAATTTGGATGCACCCCTGGGGCAGGGCAGTGCTGTGGGTGCCTCTACAGCATAAGGCATTTTTTTTTTTGAGCCCAAAAGGGACCCAGGGGAGTTCTCGCATTTCCTGGAATACGGTCAAGGCGGCAGAATCCACTGCAGTAGACAGGCGCCCTGCTGTCTTCCCTGAGAGAACAGTAGCCACAAGATGGGTGTTCTTTTCATTTCTAAAAAAAAAATGTTTTCTTAGAGGGGAAGGGAGGGAGAAAGAGAGGGAGAGAAACATTGACATGTGAGAGAGAGCCATCGATCGGTTGCCTCTCATTCACACGCCGATTGGGGACCAAACCCGCAACCCAGCGCGTGCTCTGCCCTGGAACTGAACCAGCGACCTCTCGCTCTGTGGGTCGACGCCCAACCCACTGGGCCACACTGGTCAGGGATGACGGGTGTTTTTCAATACCACGTACTCCGGGAGGAGAGGGGAGACCTAGGTCTATTTGCTTTGTGCTGCAGACGGATCCTTTGGTCGCTGGGGAACCCCGAGCCCCAGAGAGTGCGCCTGGCGTCTTTTCTAGGGCAGGTCTGTGTGTGACCAACTGTGGTGTCCATGTCAGGGCTGTGGGGCTGATTCCTCCTCCCAGTGCTTCTCTCCCTCTTGATAGACAAAGCCCACGGCCACCCGCTTGGGGGCCCTACCAGGACCCTTAAGCCACACTGCAGCCTGGTCTGTGCCTTCCTGGCAGACCGCTGGTCTCTCGGCGGCCTTGTCCACCTGCTTGTTAGCCAAGCTGCCCGGTGTGCCTTCGGTCAGTGCGTCGTGTGACCCGCGCACGCAGGACGTCTGTGGTCACCACGTAGCTCTAGCCACTCACACTTCCTGCGGGTCGTTCGTCTCATCTGTAAAGTGGGGGCTCGTGATTTTTTGAAGGTGGGGGTTGTTGTGAGAATGAACCGCATTAGGCGTGGGGTGTGCACAGCCCCCCATCGTTCCCCCAAACCATTAGTTCCCTTCCTCGGGGGAGGAAAAGGAAGGACGTGTAATTGGCCATTGGGATTTGCGCCTAGACTTGGTGTGTCTTTTCAAATGCTCGAAATTTCCTCCTCCGACACCCCCTTTTTTTTTCTTTTTTAAGTTGCACGTTAGGAGAGTAAAAACTCATCAACACCTTTTTTTTTTTTTAAGAAAACAAAAACTGTTAAGAAAATAGCCCTATGAGCTGCTACTAGGTGGAGCCCAACAACAACAGTGTGATTAAATGGAAGTAGGTTGGCCGCTGCTGGGTGTAATCTTTCATTAATGGTATTCAGGTCTAATTAATTACATCCCGCTCTCACGGAGCACACGAGCGGCTAAGCCGGCATTCTCAGACTGAGTTCTGTGGGGTCCCAGGAGGAGCCCATGAAAACGGGACAAGCCCTCTGTCCCGGGAGCCCCAGAAAACCCCCTTAAAGGCCTCGGGAAGTCCTGCAAGGAAACAACCTAATTACCTTTAACTCATTTTCCAGACCAATTTAACCTTTTTTCTTATTTACCGATTTGAGAGAGAGAGGGAGTTAGTCATCCATTTGTCGTCCCACTGACTGATGTGTTTGTTGGCTGATTCCTGGATATGCCCTGACCGGGGGTCGAACCCCCAGCCTTGGTGCCGCAGGACGACGCTCTAACCATTGGGACACCCCACCAGGGCCCAAACTGATGTTTACCATATGTGCTCCCGGATATCTGAGGAGATGCTGATGGAAGTTAGCATAATTCTTATACCGTAGCCTGTGCGCAGGCTGGTTACTAAGCAACACGTATGACAACCCTAAGCCCCCCAGAGCGATACTGCTGGGGTCTCGGCCTGGCCCCGTGTGTGGCAGCGGGTGTTTTCCATGCACCGCCTGGAAAGTAGGGCCTGGCCCCCTGAGGGGGCCGTGTCGGCAAATGATCTGCACCGATCTGCGTCTTCTCTCTCATTTCCTCGCGGTGTGTGGGTGCAGACTTCAGGCGTGACGGGGCTCTAACTGAAATCCGTGGTGTTGGACAGGCAGGGTGGGCTGGATCCGTGGGTAGTTGGATGACCCTTCATGGCTGGCTGGCGGCGGCTGAGCTGGGACGTCAGTCAGGACACAGGCCAGAGGCACCAGGCTCTCAGCTCTGTTCGGTGCCTAGAAACTTCCCCTTATTTGCCCTTTGATCCTTCCCTTCTCCTGTCTTCTCTTTCTGGAATTCCCACGTATCTGACCTCGGACCCCTGGACTGAGTCCTGCGTGTCTCTCTTTTCTGCTACATCCTTCCATCTCCTTTTTGCTCTGCTTCCTGGGGTAGTTCTGACTTTATCTTCAAACCCCTATAATTAAATTCTTATTCTTTCTTGTACTTTTAATTTCCGAAAGCATTTCTATTCTTTCCGTTTATTCTTTGGTAGCACTTCGTGTTTGGGTTTGGGGTGCAATATCTTGTGTTTGTTCGACGGTATGAATTACTGTTTTGTTGATTTTTGACGATCTCAGTTTCCTCCTGATCTTTGTTTTCTTGCACTCATCTGGATTCTCCTCCTCCTGTTCGAGGCCTCCCTCCCAAACCTGCTATCCTTGCCGGCCATTCACATGCTGGAGTGAGGCCCAGAGTGGGTGGGAAAATCTGTTGGCTGCTACAGCCATGCATCCTTACCAGGGAGCCTGAAGACCACCAGTCCGGGGGTCTGTCCCAGCCAACATGCAGTGGCATGTGGGTGTTGATAGAGGTATTCACAGGGATGTCCATATAGAGACGTAGGTTCTAATTCCCGTTAGTGGGCACCCAGGACTGGGCCTCCTCCGGGGTGAGAAGGCTGCTGCTTCCGGGCGCCGGCAGAGCCCATTGCCAAGCACCGAGGCCGGCCTAGTGCTTCTCACTGCCCCGGGGCGCGGACACTCTCGCCCTGCAGGATCTTCTGTCCTCCTGCATCTTGGGCGAATCGCTGGATGGGAGGAATCAAACACACCTTCAGAGGCCGTTGAGTGAGGGAGGGCCAGGGACTTAGGAAAGGAGGGCTCACAGCCAGGGTGGCGGGGTCGGGGCCGGTCCTCCTGCCACGGGCGTCTACGTCCGCGGCCGGAAGCGTGGGCAGGACGCCCGTGACAACCGCGGTGGGGAGAGGGGTCCGGGGCCATCTGGAGGCAGGCGGAGCGGGGCCTGTGGGGCCAGAGAGGTCGGCCATCGCTCTGGCGAGGCCAGAACCCGGAGTCCAGGAGCTGCGGGATTGGTATTTCAATGTTGATGCACCCGTGTCAACAGCAGGAAGAGGCGGCAGCTCGAGAGGGAAGCCCCCATGGGACACATCGCCATTTGCTTGCAGTCGTGCTGAGGGAAAAGTCTGTTGTCGCAGGATAACCCAGCTCCCGCTTCTCGGTGTGTGATCCCCACTCTTGCCTTTAGGAGCGTTTAGGATTTTCTCCCATCCTTGTCTTGAAAGTTCGCCATCATCCCGGCTTGCGTGGCTCAGTTGCTTGGAGCGTCATCCTGTAAGCTAAAGGCCTCGGGTTCGAGTCCCCGTCAGGGCACATGCCTAGGTTGGGAGTTTGGGGGCTGAGCGTCAGTGTCCGTGTGGGGCGCGCGGTCCGGACGGTCCCTGGCAGATGTCTCGCAGCGAACGGTGCTTGGTTTGGGGTGAGGCCTCCGTGCACTGGGGAGGGTGGGACAAGCCCGCTGGGGACAGGGAGCGCGCGGCGGTCTTCGAGGGTCAGCGGGTGTGGACTCAGAAGATGGGGAGTACCCCCTCATCGGTCTTCCCCGTGTCTTCTGAATAAACGCGGCTCTCCGGTATCGAGAGCAAACAACCGGTCCTCTGACCGGCTGTCTCAGTCACGTGGGCCACCCAGCCGGCGCCTGGCCGGCACCACCCCTCTGCCCCCGCCTCCTCCTCCGGCCCTGCCTGTCACCCTCTCTTTTGGGCCAGGCTGTGCCTTGTTCCTGACCGATGAGGCAGCTGGGGCAGGATGTCCCATATTTGAACAGATGTGTGTGACCAGGGCTCTGAGATGCCCCGGCGGGTCCCCGTGGCTCTGTGGGGCTCTGACGCTGTTCTCTCCCATATTCCTCCCGCAGCGGCTGCCTCCGGGGAACGATGGCCGCCTGAGTGTCTGCCATGGCCGACCGTAAGCGACCAAGCACGGCGAGCAGCATGCTGGACCACCGAGCGAGGCCGTGCCCGGGGCCCCTCGGCCGGGAGCCCGAGAGCCAGGACGCAGACCTGCCCCTGGAGGCGTACGCGCCCCAGGGCCTGGACCTGGCCGCCCTGCGGCCCGAGAGCCCCTCGCCCCCCGCGCCGGGCGGCCTGGCGCACAGCCCCGACGGGGACTCCAGCTCCGACTACGTGAACAACACATCGGAGGAGGAGGATTACGACGAGGGCCTCCCGGAGGAGGAGGAGGGCGCCACCTACTACATCCGCTACTGCCCCGAGGACGACAGCTACCTGGAGGGCGTCAGCTGCAACGGGGAGGCGTACCTGGCCCATGGCGCGCGACCCCTGGACACGGACGAGTGTCAGGAGGCGGTGGAGGAGTGGACGGACTCGGCGGGCCCGCACCCTTGCGGCCGCGGGCACGAGGGCGGCCCCGGCTACCCGGGCGGCCGCCTGCCCACCCCGGAGGACGAGGCCCCCGCGCCGGGGGCCCCAGACCAGGGTCACGGCCTTCACTACTGCCCCAGCGAGGAGGGCTACCAGGACTACTACGCACCCGAGGCCAACGGGAATGCCGGCGGCCTGTCTCCCCGCCGTCCCAGGCGTGGTGGAGGGGACATGGAGGACCAGGAGGAGGACATCGATCAGATCGTGGCCGAGATCAAGATGAGCCTGAGCATGAGCAGCATCGCCAGCGCCGGGGAGGCCAGCCCCGAGCACGCGCCGCTGCGGGGGCCCGAGCCCGGGCCCGGGGGCCCCACGGAGGCCTGCCGGCCTGGCGACGCCGGCCGCGGCCCCAGCAGGCACGAGGGGAGGCCCACATCGCTCAACCTGCCCCCCGAGGCCACGCTGCCTGCCGATGCCCAGAGAGGCTTCAAGACCAAGCCCAGGACTCCCGAGGAGAGGCCGAAGTGGGCCCCGGAGCAGGTAGGACTGCGGCGGCCCCCGGGGAGGGGGCGGGGGACCTGAGGGCACAGAGCCTCCTGGCACGGCCCACTACGCCAAATGCGTGCGTGCTTCCACTTGCGTTCCACTCCACGCACGCACACGCCTTCCGCTCTGCACACGCGCACACGTTCCACTCCGCGCATGCGCACGCCCTCTGGTCGCTCAGGTTCACCCCTCCGGTGCGTTAGTAAATGCCGGGAGAGCGGCCCGGGGGGCCGATTAGCAGCCTTTGCTCCCCTAGGACACCCTAGCCCGCTATCTTGGACCTGCTCGCGGTGGGGGCAGTCCCTGTGCCGGCCGCCCCCATCAGGCGGCTCCTCCGGCCGGCAGGACAGGGGCAAGGGTGCGGGACCCCCGGCAGGGGCCAGTGTTGGGGGCAGCAGCCTGCGTGCATTTCCCAGGGGTGACGCTTCGTGGAGCACGCAGGTGCAATGGGCAATTAGCCATAAATAACCATCGTGAAAACAATTACGTAGAGGTTTGCCGGAGTCTTGCAGACGCTGCGCATGCTAATGAGTGCCATGGATTTGAGCAGAACCGTATTTTCTTTTAATTATAACAAAGTACAGTGTGTTTTCTCACAAACACATTTGAAAAGCTGCCTTTTAAAAAAAAACCCCCGCTGTGAGGCTCTAAAGCAGATGTGGTTATCAGACTTGTGTAAAGAAACTTCTGTGTGGCTGATTCTGTGGACAAAGGAGAATGAACTGCTTTCATGTTGTTTTAAAGCCTTAATGGGTATTTGGTTCCCCGGGAGTGTTCATGCATTTGACAAATGTAGAGAGAAAGAGCTTGCGTTTGGGAGATAAGTTCTCTTGGTTCACTGTTAGGTTTTTGGCACATACATTCCATGCCTTTTGTTCATGTTAAAGGTCATTAGCATAAATTGTCATGTATGGCAGTTGTGCGTGCAGCGTGGGCCTTTGGGGACACTGGGCAGGCAGCTGGGGGACCATGGGCTTGAGGCCGGAACACCGCGGGTCCCCTGCAGGGCTCGGCAGAGCCGGGCCAGCTCCCAGCAGTGGCGACGGTGCCCCAGGGGTTGACGTGGTTGCCGGAGGCGGGTGACACCCCGCTCCGGGTTGTAACCAGCAGTTTCCGTGACAAAGTTCTTGTCGAGAGAAAAGGATCTTCCGAGTGTGGTGGGGAGTGGGTAAACTCTTCTCGGGCCTTCCTCAAACCAGGTGCTAATTTGAGTGACAAGCACAGACCTCTCGTTAGGGGCTTAGGGGGTGAGTGGCGGGGAGTGGATGGGTGGGCGGCGGTGGTTCACAAGGGCAGGCGGAATGAGGGGGACGTCCTGGGCCACCGCTGAGAGTTCAGGAGGAGGTCGCTTCTTCCCGGAGCGGGACATCAGCGGGCTCCTCTTCCTCAGTCCTGTCGCTGTGAAGCAAATGCTCTTCTCGAGCTACCAGAAGGGTGGTTTAAGCTGGCTAGCCCTCGCGTAGCTTTTTTGGGTTTTATTCACTCATTCATTCGTGAGCAATTCCATCGAGGGGAGAGCCTGGCAGTTTCCATCTCAGGGCCTGCGGGGGGCCCCCGAATGTGTGACCAGAGGGCCCTGCCATGCTGGGCCTTTGCACCCTGTAGACTTGAGGGGCCCGTTGCATGGGGGGGGGTGTCTCTGAAGTTGGACGAAAAGAGCCGCGGATGGTAGGGATCACATTGACAGCTAGATCATGTGATGCAGGAAGCACCCTGGGCATAGGCGCTGGTTCCTGTCTTCACAGGACAACCTGCCTTCCTAGAAGGAGGCCCTTCCTTCCAGGGACAGCCAGGCGCTTGCAGGGGCCAGCTGGGCCTCAAGCGGGCGCTCCTGAGTCCCGCCTGCCTCCCGTCCGCACCACCGTCCGCACGGTGAGGGAAGCGCAGCTGAGAGCGGAGGCTGCTGTTAAAGAAAAAAGAAATGTCTGGCCCTGCTGGTGTGGCTCTGTGGCTTGGAGTGTCGTCCCGTGCACCAAAAGGTGGCAGGTTCGATTCCTGGTCAGGGCATGTGCCTAGGTCATGGGTTCAGTCCCTGGTCAGGAGGCAACCGATCGATGTTTCTCTCTCTCCCTCCCTCCCTGCCTCTCTTTCTAAATATCAATGGACACATCCTCAGCTGAGGGAAAAAAGAAAATTACGCCACCGATGTTCCTGACTACTCAGCAGCATTGTAACCAGTCACGGCAGGAGCAGTGGGTTTACAGCAGAGCCAGAGTCCCAGATGGGGACACCCGTCTCCGAGGTCCCCGCCTCCCCCCCGGCTGAGCCCCTGTTATTTCCCAGCATTCCTTCTCGCGCGCAGGCACCGAGCATAAACGGCGTATGCGGCCATCGTTGTCCAGGTGTGACGCCGCCATCCGCTTCCAGAATCTGCCGTCTGTTCGCTTCCCCATCGCCGGAGAGTTTCTGTGATTTTCTGTATAGTTTCTGTGACTTACGGACCTTTGGATGTTCTGTCCAGGCCACGTGCCGTATCATTTATCTGCCATTTGTGTGTGCGTACCCTCCCGGGACACACAGGTGTGGAGAGCTTTTCTCTTACACGCAAGCGGTGTTCATCCCTGTTTGTACGAAATACGCGCATTGTATTGGTGTTTTCTCACACCTTCCTCTGTGGCTGCTGCTATTTGGCCGCCTGGCGCTGAGTGTGGACAGAAGGCCCTGGCTGGGCGCGGGTCCCGCAGCTCCGAGGCGAGCTTTGGGGGCCCGGCCAGTCACCGGGGCACCTCCGTGGTGGGCGGTTTGCCGACCAGAGCTCTCCATGCCTCCGGGGGCACTGATAAGAGTGTATCCAGCACCACAAATCACGGTCCTGCGGTGTGGCCAGCTTTGGCCGGGACCAGGCCGATCTCTTTAGAGGGCGGCCCACCTCGCGTTCCCTTGTGGCATCAGGCACGAGACAAGGTACTCCAAAAACACCTGCCCTGTGCTTGGAATCCTCCCTTAGGGCGCTTGTCACCTTGGGCCTTGGCAGTCGCTCGGTCCGCGCCACCCGTGGGCTGGGCGCACGTCAGACTTCACGCAAGTTGAAAGTGTGTGATTTTTATGACGTTTGGATGGCACACAGAGTCCACGTTTTGGTTCTTTGGGGTTCTCATGATTTCTGCGTGTTCTCGGCCCAGCCAGGGCTTTCTAGAAAGAGCCCTCTGACAACAGAAAACCGAAGCAAAACCGATCTGTCGTAGCCGCCTTAAGGCCGCAGTTTAAGTGCGGTACAACCCAGGCGGACGGTGCTCAAGGTCGCCTGTGTAGCGATGCCTTTGCTGTCAGTTGGCCTCGAACCAAAGCTGGCCTCCTGAGGGGCCTTTTGGGATTTCCGTGGGAATGCGGGCGCCAAGTACACGGGGGCCCTGGCCTGCCCGCGGAAAGGGCGGCGCTGGCTCCGAGCTGGCCCCTGCCCCATGTGCCCCCTCGGTGGCCCCGGTGGGTGTGAGCACCTGCTTTCCCCTGGAGGGTGGCGGCCGCTGTGAGGCCCCTAGAGGCTGAGAGCAAGGCATCCAGGGGTCTCTGGTGCCCGGGGCCCCTGGTCGGTGTGGCCCAGGTGACCTGGGCTCGCACTGTGCCCAGGTGGGACGGCCTGTCCCAGCTCTGCCCGCAGGAAGCGCCGAGCCGGGGGCAGAGCCTGCGGCAGGTGCCAAGGGCTGGAGTCCGGGAGGTGCAGAGGCATGGCCGGCGCGGGAGGGCCCTGGCGGAGCCCGGCCGGCCCCTTCCCCCCGGAGTCCTGCCCCCGGGCTGCAGCCGCCCCCACTCTCCGCTCACGGCGGGCTGCCGCGGGGGAGGTGCTCAGAGACGCTCTGGGACTGCGAGGGGGACTTGAGGCGGAGGGGCAGGATGTCCCCGCGCGGAACGGGGGCTGGGATTGCGATGGGGACAGGAGCTCTGAAAGCCAGCGCGCGGGAGGCGAGGGGCCTGGGCGGAGGCTGGTGACGAGAGAGGGACAGAGAAGGGCCCTCCGCGGGCGGGGCCGTCGGGAAGGCCGGGCGGGCACAGGGGCGGTTATCGGGGAGACCCGACTCTGTGGCGTCGCTGGCGCGTCGCGAGGGCGGAGGTTCGTGTCTGGGAGCAGGACGGGGTAGCAGGGCAGCCTCTGTAAGGACAGGCGGGGACCTGAGGACGGGCCAGCGGAGAGAGGCTGCCCCTCGCATGTCCTGGGGCCTGAGACACATCCCGCCGACAAAACCCCATGAGCCACACGCCGTTCTCTACCGAGGGCAGGGCTCCGTGGAAGGATTTTTAGAAACAGCTCCTGTTCAGGAAGAAGGACCACACTGCGGAACACAGACCCGGGGACACGTCCCTTCACCCGTGGCCCGCGCGCCTGCCGTGCGGCACCCTGGCCGTGAGGGGCGGTGGGCGCGCACTCTGAAGCGCTGAGATCGCAGCCCATGCAGCTCGGCGGCGCAGGGAGACCCGGGGCTCTGGGACTGGGAGGCTGACCTGGGGGAGCTGCGGCCCTGCCTCAGGGTCCCCAGCGGGCAGCGCAGGGAGCCCGGCGCGGCTCCGAGGCGCTGAGACAGCCCGGTGAGGCGGGCGGCGCCTGCCAGGGGCCATCTGCTGGCGGGCCCCAGAGTCAGTGTCACAGAGGAGAAGCTGGCCTTTCCGTGCCTGAGCCCACGCCGCGGCCCAGACCGCGGGGGCTGCAGGGCGATTGGGACGGGGCCGTGGAAGTGCGTGGCCTGGCTCCTCGGGGCCCAACGGTGAGCGCGCTGCCCAGGCTGGGGCTGGTCCGGGCCAGTAAGAGGCGTTTCCCCGAGAGGGCCGTGCGCCGCTGTCCGTGGTGCTGACGCGCCGCTGTCCCCGGTGCTGACGCGCCGCCGGGTCCTCCCCACGGGTGGCCGCCCCGCCCTGCGTGCGGTCAGGCCGCGCGGGTCAGTGGGCCTGAGCCCGACGCTGGGCGTGGGGCGCCGCCCAGCACAGCGGCCTGGGGCGCGGTGTAGGGTTTTCGGAGGGGGTGGCTGCCTGCGTGTGAGGGTTGCTCCGTCGGTTAGAGCGTCGTCCCCACAGGCCAGGGTGGCGGAAGTCGGTGGTGGTGGAGATTTCCGCCGCCACGGCACCCAGAACAGCGCCAGGCGCCGCCTGGGCTGCACGGGGCTCCCATGGGGTGGAGGTGGCAGCCACATTCAGCCAGTCATGACAAGGCGCCCAGTTAAACTCGGCTTTCAGATAGACGGAGAGGAGCTTTTTGGTGTAGGTGTGCTCCATGGTACGCCCGGGCGAGGGGTTGAGGGGTGCGGGGCGCGCCCCTCCCTCCCCGTGGATTTCCTCATGATTCGTCCAAACCACAGGGTGGCTTTGTAAGATACGGTCGCCCCCACGGGGATGCCTGTTGGAAGGACAAATTCTTCATCCGAGCTCCCGCTCTCCTCCAGGTGGACACCGGGGAGTGAGCTGAATCGCAAGAGGGACGAGAGAAAAGGAACAATATTGTCATTCTTCTGAGCGAGCTGCATGTCAGGGATGGCCTGAAGGACTAGTGGGAGCTGTCCAGGGGCCGAGTCGGACCTTCAGGGGGCCCTGCTGGCTCACGACCTCGGCTGGGTCCCGCGCGGAGCATCCGCCATGCGCGCAGAGCGTCCTGGCTGCCCGTGCTGAGCTGGGCGGAGGGAAGCCTCTTTTTAGGAAAATCCAAGGAGGAGGGATGACTGACAGGTTTGCAAACAGGGAACCTGACATGATTTCCAGAAAAAGGCTGCTTTCTCACTGATCCCTCCTCAGCTCTGGGGTTTCCTGGACGCGGAATCACGTGCGAGGGGAGAGGGGACAGGCCACAGGGAAGGGTTGCCGGGCTCGGCTTTGAGCCGCCGCTCCGCCCCTAAGGTGAGCTCCGGAGCAGCTCCCCGACACGCCCCTCACTCAGGACGAAGCTCGGAAACACGCGGCTTCTATTCCAGACGGCGTGGGCGTGAGCGGGCGGGCGCGTGTTGGCTGTTATTTCATGCAAAGCCACGTGGGTTCTGTCGCTGTGTTTTCAGTGAAATCGAGTGGACAAAATCAGAACTGACACTTTAAAAAAAACCCGGGCTTTCGCTTCGCCAACAGGAGCCAAGACACTTATTAGAGCAATTTATTCAAATCAGTTTATTTTGTATCCCAGGCAAGCCAGCTCTGCCCTGAACAGCTGTCCCCGGTCCTGCCAGGGTCCGGCTGGTCTGGACCACGTGTTCTAGTTCTGTGTTTAGAGCCCCGTGGGGGACGTGGGGTGGGGGTCCCAGCCCCATGCGCACGTTGCAGGCCTGCCCTCCGCGCGCTGCCTTCTCTGAGTGATGGGGCTGTAGTTCTCGGACAGGGGCGTAGCCTCCTCCCCACGGACTCCGAGGACCAAAGAGCCCTGGGCGGCATCTCAGTCCGGCGGCTGTAACGTGGGGGGGAACACAAAAGGATTTAAGTAGCGTATTCATCCAAGGTGCCGGGAGCCCTGGGCCCACGTGGCCCTCTAACCATGCGAATTTCAGAGCCTGCGTCCCACACACCAAGCCCCCGTCCCTCCCTCCCTCCCTGGAGAAGGAAATCAGAGCCGCGGGGGGGTCTCCAGAGGGGAAGCAGCACAAGCCCACCCCCCTGCCTCTTGGAAAACCGCCCTGACCTTTAGCTTCAGCTGTGGTTGTCCTGGCAAGGAGCGGTCGGAGGGAGTGCGAGAAAATGCTGATGCGAGGGAAGGGTGGCGCGCAGACATTTGGGGAGAGTGGCCCTAGAAGGGGGACACCGCTGCCATTTGCCACAGGCATCGGGCACCAGGCGAGCGGCTGTCCTCCCGTGGCCGCCCCCGCGCGTCTGCCCGCCCTGATGAGAACCTGTGGCTGGGTCTGACTCCGCGTACCCGAGGTCCCCTCGTCGTCACACGGATGGGGACACCCCGGCAGGGGCGCGGGGTGGGGAGCCTTTCCCTGGTGCCGGACGAAAAGGTCCTGGAGACGGATGGCGGGCTGGCTGTGCGGCCACGTGAACGCGCCTCATGCCGCAGGACACACAGTTTAACACGGTCAAGGTGGCACATCGTACGTCGCGAGCGTTTTACCACAACTAAAAATAAGCTAATGACGTTAGAAAATATGACTCAAATAATATTTTAGAATAAAAGTATACATTTTATTAAAGAAAAGATTAGTACATATCTGCGGACGCGCACACAGACGTGCGCGCACGCTCGGGCGGCCTGCAGAATCGCGCCCCCTGGGGACACCGGCCTCACCCGCGCTTCCCCGTCCCCAGGTCTGCAACGGCTCCGAGCAGCCCCGGAAGCAGCAGCGCTCCGACCTCAACGGGCCCGCCGACAACAACAACGTCCCCGAGGTAACTTTCTCCGGGGTGAGAGCTCGCCCGGGGCTGCCCGCCCCCCGCGGCCTTGTCCTGTCCAGAGCCTCGGGGCGGGCTGTCCGGGTGAGCCGAGCTGGGTGTCCCCGCAGTGGGAGGAGGCGAGGGCGGCTGGCGCCCCCGACGCACGTGCTCACCCGTGCGTGTCCGCGCGTTGGCGGTGGCATGCGGGGTCGTCGGTGCTCCGATTCCACTGAAGCTCGTTGTCCCCATTGTCTGACACGCTCCAAACCCGGGTTTTCCACGGGGCCCTGGTGACATTGGGGGCCAGAGCGTTCCGTGTCGCGGGGCCGCCCTGTGCCCTGGGGGTGCTCAGCAGCCTCCCCGCCTCTGCCTGCTCGATGCCAGGGGCGACCCCACCCCCAGGATGTGACAACGGAAAATGCCTTCGGGCGTGGCCCGGTGTCCCCGTGGGAGAAGGCTGTCCCGGGTGAGAGCCCCGTCCTTACCAGCGGCCTGAGTTTAAGCAACAGCCCTATGCAAACGAACGGGGCCACACGGAGATCGTGCAGATGAGGCTGAACGCGGTTACTTCTCTTTTCTGGGTAACCTGGTTCGGGTGAGACTCTGTGGCGCCGGGGCAGCGACGATGACCCGGGGGTGGCGTCCGGTCCTCTCTGCCTCGCTCTCACAGACGTGCCCTGGCGGTTCTCGCGCCCTCTGCTTGGCGAGCCCTTGGGTTGTGTGGTCTCTGGGTGCCGCCTGGCGGTGATGTGCTCATCTGAGGGTCCCCGGCTGTTACCTGGTGGCCTTTTGTACCCCACAGTTTTTTAAATCTTCACCTGAGTATATGTTTTTATTTTTAGAGAGAGAGGAAGGGGGGGAGAGAGAGAGATGAGAGAGAAACATTGATCGGTTGCCTCCCATATTTGTCCCGACCGGGGACCAAACCCACCACCTAGCCACCTAGGCATGTGCCCTGACCAGAGAGCAAACGCGCAAACCTTTGGTACACAGGACAACGCTCCAACCCACTTAGCCACCCGGCCAGGACAAACCCTAATTAATCTTTAAAAATAATTAAGGAAGCAGGTTTCCCCTTGAAAATGGGTTACACGTGCCCCTCCCGCCCGTCGCGGCGTCCGCTTGAGCCCGCAAGGCCCCGCGGGGCTGGCTCCCTGGGGGCTCCAGCCAGTCACGGGGTTTAGCTCCTCACCTGAGTCTGGCGTATGGGCCACCTGCTGACCCCTGTCATTATTTCTCTCCCAACAGACAAAGAAGGTGGCCTCCTTCCCAAGCTTTGTGGCTGGTAAGTGACTTTGAATTTTCTCTCTCGGGGGCCAGTTGCATTTTATGTCAAAACAAGTGATACCGTTACATTCGGCGGCGGCCGCGGGGGTGGGGCGGTTCTCCGGCGGAGCTCGTTAGGAAGCACCCGGGCGTGGGGAGGGGGCCGTAGGGAGGCAGGGTCCCTCGCATTTGCTCCTCCGGGCGCCGCCGGAGCCCCTGCGGGGGGTGGGGGCCCAGCTAAGCGGGGGTGGCCGACGGGGTGGCCCGCCCCTCTGATGACACCGGCCACCACGGGCGCACACGCGACACTGGCGGCTGGATCAAGCGACTGAGACGTGTCTGTCCAGGCAGCTAATTTCGCGCGGGCCCTTCTGATCGGGCTGGGCACCAGGGCATCACATGCAGCTGTCGTTCTGCTCTTAGACTCCTCACTCTCCTCCACTCCTCGGTCTGGTCTTTTTGGAAGAGGTAATAATTGCATTTCAATGTTTAGTAAAAGCCAAACTGATCGATCTGTATCGATTTTGGGTGCGGGGAGCATGCCCGCGGGGCTTTGAAGTGTGTCAGGTAACCCTGGGGCTCCCTCGGGGGCGCCCCAACTCCGCAGTCAGGAGCCCCGAGTGCGTCCTTCTCTTGGCTAGAAAGACGCTTCCTGCCCTTGCGACGCGTCACCGTAAACAAGGCGGACTCGCTTCTTTCAGGAAGCTGGTAATTAACTTTATGAAGGTAAATGAATTTGCAGAAATTGTAAGCCTTCCTTACGCCGTTTTTTGTTTTTTAACCTTACAACAGGGCGCTGCTGTGTCGTTCTTGTTCTTTGGTCCCCAGCCCCCGCCCCCCGCCGGAAACCATCACTTGCTCTCCGTTCTCTGGGTCGGTTCCTGTTTTGTTTTGTTTATTCATTTGTTTGGTTTTTCTAGATTCCACATGTGAGTGAGATCGCATGGTGCTTGTCTTTCTGCGCCCGACTCACGAGGTTGCGCTCCTCCTCAGAGCTGAGCGATGTTGCTGTGCGTGCATGTGTCTGTCGCTTTACTCGTTCACCTGCTGAGGGCGCTAGGTCACGTCCGTGCTCGGGCCGTGCCTAATAATACTGCAGTGAACGTGGGGGTGCACATAGCATTTTGAGTCGGTGCTTTTGCTTTTTGATAAATACCCAGAAGTGGAACTACTGGTGGGTTGTGGGGTCGTTGCATTTCTGATTTTTTGAGGACCCCTCATGCTGTTTCCATAGCTGCACTACGGTGTAATCCCGCCCCCAGCGCGTGGTTTCCGTCTGCTCCACGTCCTTGGCAGCAGTTACTATTTGTTGACTTGTTGAGGGCCATTCTGTCAATTGCGTTTCCCTGATGACTAGGGACGTGGAGCACCTTTTCCCATGTCTGCCGACGATCTGTGTGTTCTCTTTGGAGGGGCGTCTGCTCAGGTCCTCTGTCCATTTTTAAACTGGTGTGTTTGGGGGTTTTTTAGTATTAAGTTGGACGCGTTACCGAGTTTGGACATGAACCCCTAGGGAGAAGCTCTGCTTGCGGGCACTGTCCTCCATTCGGCAGGCTGCCCCTTCATCCTGGGATGGCTCCCTCCGCCCCGCGTGAGCTTTCCAGTTGGACCTCACCCCCTCGCTTCTTTTTTCTTTCGTTTCCCTTGTCCAAGGAGACAGACCAAAAAGATAACGGCTGAATGTGGCGTGAAAGAGTTGATGTCCATTTTGCGTTCATTTTTGTATATGGTGTAAGAAAGTGGCACAGTCCCTCCCTCCCTCCCTCCCTCCGTCCCTCCCTTCTTCGCACATATCTGGCCAGTTTTCCCCACTCGCTCCTTGAAGAGACCATCTCTGTCCCGTGTGTCCTTGCCGCCCCCGCCGCGGACTGATCGGCACAGGAGCAGGGTTTAGGTCTGGGCTTTCTGTCTGTGTTTTTTTGTGCGGGGCCCTGGTGTTCGATGGCTGTAGCTTTGTAGTAAGTACCTACCAAAGTGACTTTTCTTTTTCACAAACAGAGCGTTTGAACCCGCCTCTAGGACTCCATCCGTCATAAATAGGTTTTTTTCCAGACGTGTTTTAAAATAGGAGCTTTTATTCCCTGAGAACTGCTTGTTATGATTTCTGCGAATGGTGTTTGGGTCAAGACAAGAATTAGAAATGAATTCGACCCTGGAAACCCCCTTTTCTCTCCGCATATCCCAGAGCCCTCCTCCCTCCCTGCCGAGGGAGCCTCTGTGAGGCTTCTTGTGAATCCTTCGTATAAACCTTTTGCCTAAAATAGACGTCGCCCTGGCCTGTGGGTCTGCACTTTGCTTTTTCATTTTCTAGTAGATCTTGGAGACGACAGCCAATGACCCACCCAATCAGTGACCAAACAGGGTCCGGTGACAGGGACGGGGGTTGGGGGTGGTTATTAGTCTGCAGCGAGTGCCCTGTGAGCAAGCCTCGTGGGCGTGTCTTTGTGTTCAGGGGGGTGTCCCTTTGAGCCGGGGACAGGCCCGCCGCGGGCTGACTCGGGCGGAGGTGGCCTGGTTGCTGGCCCCAGGGGGGGCAGGTGCCGCCACCCTCGGGGGCGTCTCGCCAACACTGTGTGCCGTGGGCTGGGCCCCGGGCTGGTGGGTGAAAAGCGGCATCTTGTTCGTTCGTTCCACGCGCCTGTCTCCACAGAGGCGAAGCCGGACTCCGCTTCATGTTTATAGCTGTTTGCGTTCCTTTTCCTGGGCGGTGTCGTCTTCCTTTCCTCTGTTGAATTTGTTTTTTTTCTTATTTGTATTACTGTCTACATAGAAAGGAAATCAGCATTTTGATTTTCATGGCTAACATTTCCCCCAGGTCACCATTGTCCTTTGATTTATTTTTCTGTACATTTTTTTACTTTGCTGAACATTTTATATAGACAAATATATTTGTCTTTTTTGATTTTTTTTTTTTTTTGAGGTTAGCGTGACTGTCACACTCCCAAGATTTATTTTTTAAAAATCCTTACCTGAGGACATGCTCATTGATCTTAGAGGGAGGGGGAGGGAGAGGAAGAAGGAGGGAGAAACATCGGTGAAGTGCCCCCCGCACACCCCTCGATGGGGGGCAAACCCGCAGCCCAGGCGCGTGGCCCCACGGGACGGGCCGTGCCTCTCGCTTTACGGGATGCCGCTCCGACCCGCTGAGCCACACCCGCCAGGGCGGGTTATTTTTCGAAATAGACTTTTATTCTAGAACTCTCGTGATTTTATTTTACATTATCTAACTATTCGAGTGCCCTGGAACCGACAGTCACCTGCAGCTCGGCCTGTGTCTGGACCTGCCGCGCCGACGCGTCCTTCCAGGAGCCAGGACTGGGCAGCGGGGCCTCGCAGTGGCGTGGCCGTCTGCCGCCACCCTGCCCACAGGGTCCTGGGCCCTCTTGTTTATTTTTTTCCTAGAAATTTTAGAGTTAACTTATCTAGTTACACAATAAAAACTCCTTTGGTGTTTCAGTTCAGTTCAGTTCAGTTCATGCCATTTCATTCTAGGCATGCCATGCATTAAATTCATCGATGCAGGAGCGTGTCGCATGACTGTATGAAATTTTTCCTTCCCCGAAGGGACTTAGCTTTCCAGGTATTCAAGGTTGTTTATAATCAATCAAATTTTATTCATAAAAATTCAGATTATATATGTTGTTAGTGTATTCCTTGGAGTTTTATCCTTTTTATTGGTTTTGTTAAACCTTATATTTTATTTCATTTTTTCTAACTTGTTGCTATTTACAGCTACCAAGAAAGCTATTGATTTTTTTATATATTAAGTTTGAAACTACTGTCTTAATGAATTCTTATTTTTTTAAACAGACTTTTAGTTATTTTCTCGTGTTTTTAGGGTGAAAAAACTTATTTATCTACAAATAAGAATGGTTTTTGCCATTTCCTGACTTGCTTTCTGTTCTTTTTTCGTCTTGTATACTTGCATTGGGTAGAATGTAGGGAACAATGTAATATATAATACATAACAGTGACTAAACATGACACGTTTTTGGAAGATCCATCCATTTAATTATATCATAAATAACGTCAAACATATACAAAAGTATACATGACCCGTAGACTATGTTTAAGATTAACGCATCGATATATACTGACCCTTTGTCAGGACCGTATGTAGGGCTTTGACGTTTGTCCCAAATTCCCTCCTCTAAGGACAGAATCCCGCTTTTGTTTTAATCCGCACATCACACGCCAGCCTCAGCGCCGCGGCCCCGACGCCCAGGCACTTCAGGCCCTGGGCGCCCTGGAAGGGCTGTTCGCTGGGCGGGCGGAGTCGCAGCAAAGCCCCACCTGCCTCCCGGCGCCTCCCCGGGGACCGGGCGCCTGTGGGTGCGGCGTGGGCCCCCGCCCCCCCACGCGAGTCCGTGTCCCGGCTGCGCCCCAGCCCCGGTGCGGCTGCTGCCGGCGCGCGGGCCAGGCTTGATCCACCTGCTCGGGCCGCGGTGGCGGTGGGAGTGGGGCCTCAGGGAGGGACAGGAAGCTGGAGGGACCGGCACTCGCCGGGGTCTGGGACCGCAGCCTCGGCAGGGGCAGGCTCATTCAGAGGGACGGCCTCTTCCCCCGCCCCGGGGATGGGGGCCCGTGGGGGCCACGCGAGCCCGCACTCCGCAGACGGGACGTGGGGGCCCAGTTCTGGTGCGGCCCGCGGGGCGGGGCGGACAGTTGCTCCAGGGCCGCTGGGACCGCGGGGCCTTTCCCGCAGCTCCCAGTGGCGCCATCTATTGGTCAGTAGCCGTCACTGCAGGGAGGCAAGTGATTCTGGCCCCCCTGCAGGTGACTGAAGGCGAACGACAGACCCCGGGGACCACACTGGCCGAGGGGTGCACAGGGAGGGTTCCTTCGGCGGCCGCCCCCTCCCTTCCCGCCTCTGCCCCGTGTCCCCAGCCCCGCCCCGCTGGGAGCGGGTTTGTCACCTCCAGAGTGAGGAGCGAGGCGCCCGAGCTGGAAGGAGCAGCCGGATTCGACCCGGCGTGGAGCCCTGCGGGGGTCGCCAGCCCTCGGCCCCCAAAGGGCAGAGCCCACTGGCCCCTGAGGGGCGCCGGCCTGCGCCTGCCCGGGATGGGGCTGCACCCCAGACGACGGGGGAGGGCGAGTTCTCGTCGGCCCGCAATCGGCGTCCCCTCACAGCGCTGCGGCCTGGTGTGCGCGTGCGCGTGCGGCGTGTGCGTGCGGCGTGTGCGGCGTGTGCGTGCGGCGTGCGCGCTCCAGCAAGGCCTCGCCTCACGTCCTCCTCAGGTTCTGTGACTTTAAGCAAAACGATATATAAACGAAACCAGTCCTGCTGTAGACGAATTGTCACGAACGACAGTGACATTCCTACAGCATCTCATCACCGTTGTAACCCAGCGGCTTGAAGGGATCAGAGACCTCGAGACGGGAGGGCCGCCAGGGCCCTGCCGTGGGCGGGGGTGCCAACGGGGCCGTCCCTCCCCCAGGGCTGACCCGGCCCGCGACTCAGAGCACCCGCCTGGCCCGAAGCGCTTGACCGCGTCGGCGCTGGTGTGAAGGAGGCGCGCCGTGGTGGCTGCTCCACGTCTGGTCCTGCGGGCCAGGTGCCGGGAGCAGGCCTGGGCCTTGCGCGCGCGGCCCCGAGGTCAGGCGGGAGCCCGGCTCCAGGCTTCCTCCCGGCTGCGTGCTGGGCGCGGCCCGTCCCGCAGGGCAGGGGGAGCCGCCCAAGTCGCACACAGCAGCTTGGAGAACTTGCCCTGAACCTCCGTCACCGCTCAGGTGGCTGGCAGTCTGCCGCTCCGGGAGCGCACAGCGCCTGAGCGGCCGGGGCGGGGACGCTACCGTTCTGCAGAGAAAGCGGGACTGCCGCGGGCCCGCTCGTTGGCATGGTTACACGTTGTCTCTGGCGCTCTTGTGCCGCCGGCGCAGAGGTGGCTGGTTTCACGCGTCCGCACAGCCCCGAGCAGCTCCCATGGATCCCTCACAGGAAAGGTTCGTGGCCCCCCCCCCCCGCGCCTCCAGTCCCCTCGTCCAGCACGGAGCCACTCGCCACAGCACTGGCCACAGTGGACCATTTATATGTAAATGAATTAAGTTTGCATAAAGTTTAAAAGTTCAGTTCTTTCCTTGCTCTGGCCCCACAGCTCAGGTGCCCAAAGCCACGCGTGGCGTGTGGTCCCTGTACTGAACAGTGCAGGGGCGGGACATCCCGTGTCGTGGCAGAAAGTTCTGGAGACGGTGCCGGTCTAGAGGCAGCAGGCGGGACCAGGGCCACGGGCACCTGCCGAACCTGAGGTGTGGGGCACGGGAGCGCCCGGAGGGCTCCAGGCCAGCACAGAAGCAGAGAAGGCTCTAGAAGGATCAGAGGGTGATGGGCAGTTTCCATCACCACCCCGAGTTCTAGGGGCTTCCGGGGAAGGCGTGCACATGCTGCCGTTTTGGGAACGGGAGCCTTCTGGAGTGGCAGTGCCCGGCTGTCACCTTGGCGGTGGCAGAGCCGCCTGGGGCTCCAGGATTGTCCCCCTGGTAGAGTGTGCGTGGAGCGCCCGGCCCGAGCACTGACGGCACCGTGCACCGGGCACCCCGCCGCCCAGCGGCCTTGCTCCCCCCTGCCCCCCCGTCCTGGGGGTGGAGGCCCACCACGCCCCCTTCAGTTCCAGGGCCCTGCGAGCCGGAAGACCTCATCGATGGGATCATCTTTGCTGCCAACTACCTGGGCTCCACCCAGCTGCTCTCGGAGCGAAACCCTTCCAAAAACATCCGAATGATGCAAGCCCAGGAGGCCGTCAGCCGGGTCAAGGTAGGGGCGGGCGGGGGCACAGGGCGCGCACAGCGGCCCTGGGCGGGGGGGATGCGGGGCTGGGCCACGGAGGCCACCCGCGCCTTCGCCGGGAGCCGCCCCAGGCCACCCGGCAGCGCGGCTTTTGGGACTCGTCGCGCGGGGAGCGTGCCCGTCGCGAAGCATGTCCGTCGTGAAGCATGTCCGTCGTGAAGCATGTCCGTCGTGAAGCATGTCCCGTGCAGTCCCAGTCCCACAGTCCAGGTCCTCAGTGCCGTTCAGGGTGCTGCTTGCGGAAAGGGTGACAGATGTCGAGTTCTGTTTCGCTTTGTGACCTCGAGGAAAGCTGGGGCCCCCGCGCAGCGCCAGGCGCAGGCCGGACCGCCCGGCCTCGAACGCTTGGCACGGCGTCCGGGGGCGAGGGCACCGCGGACCATGGCTGCTGCTCCCCTGTGGGGCGACACACTGCGCCAGCCCCTCCCCTGTCCTGGCCGTATCCAGGGCTACCCGACCTTTGAGAGTCTCTGGGCCACCCTGGAAGAACAGTTGTGTTGGGCTACACGTTAAATATATAAGCACTAACAGAAGCAGAAAAATCTCATCATGTGTTGAGTAAATTTACATCTCTGCTGGGCATCCGCCGCCATCGTGGGCCGCAGCGGCCGCGGGCCGCGGGCTGGACACACCAACCTCTTGTAATAACGGCAGGGGGGGGCAGGGCCTGAGCCCCAGGGGACAGCCCGCTGGGGGGGGTGGCCCTGGTCCTCTGCCCTTGCCCTGGCCCTCGCCCCCGCAGCTCCGGGGGTGGTCCGCAGTCTCCAGCACTCGGGGGACATCTGGGGGCCCCTGGGCACGTTTGCCCGCGCGGCACTGCCGCTCGCCTGGGGTGCGGGCGCAACACTGACCCAGCACGGCTGCCCCCGCTTCACTCGGCACCCACCTGTTTGTTCTGTTCTTCTCTCCTACATGCTGTTCAGAGGATGCAAAAAGCTGCTAAAATCAAGAAAAAAGCGGTGTGTAGGCGTGCGGGGTGTGCTTGTGTTTCTGTGGCTTGTCCTGCGCAGGCGGCTGGGGGCGGGGCGGGGGTTCCCGCTGGAAACACAGCGCCCACGTGGCCAGCGGCTTGTCCACCCCCTGCAGGTGAATACTAGGCTCTGAGTGAAACCACGTTTTTTTTTTTTTTACCCCTCCACTGACACAGGAACGTAATCGTTGCCCTTTTGTGTTTCTGATCCCTCGGTGAGTCTGTGCCGGGATGTGCCGGAACGTGGTTAATGCGGCGATGCCCCTGCTTCGCATGGGCGTTTTTGCGGGTGGCATTGCCTCGGCCTCCTGTAGAGAGTTAATTAAATTGTTCCAATGTTTGAAGACTCATTAAGTTTAATTTACTAAATCTGGTTGATGAGAAGTTCAGTTCTCCCAGGAGACGCCTCTCCGTTGAAGAGTCTCCGGGGCACAGACTTGCAGAAGGCGGTTGACCTGCGGCCCTTTGTAGACCTGGCCACTCAGTAAAGGCCGCACTTTGCACTCCCCCGCTCGCCCCACAGGAAGTAGCAAGCGCTGATGTGGGAAGGCTCTGGCTGGGCCGGGAAGGGGGTTAGCCCTCTGTCCCCGCCTGGGGCGCCATTGTCTGGGGATGTGGCCAGAGGACCCTGCCTGGGGGCTCCCACTCCCCTGCAGTGACACCTGTCTCCCTGCGGAACAGACTTGGGGGCAGGTAGACGGAGCCCAGAATGGCCGCAGCGGCCAAGACCGGCTGCTCCCCCGCCATGAAGCGCTGCCCATCCCTCCTGGCAGGAGGTGCTCAAGTTCATTGCCAAGGGCCCCTCGTCTGCCCACAGCTGGCCGAGCCCAGGGCGACAGGTGGCAGCGTTCCCTGAGCCCGGGGCCCCAGTGGAGAGCCCCCCGCCACCCACGGACTCCCTGGTGACTCTAGGGCCGGGGTCCCCTCCGCAGACGTGTGCACCCTCCTGTCCGGGTCCCTCCGCAGGGCCGTGCTGTCGATGGCCTCCATTGTCCCAGCGAGGAGTGCGGCAGGTGGCCTGGCCCGTTTCCTGTTACCGGCCAGGCCTCAGCTTCACGCACTCGCTCCCCAGTTTAAGCGCAGCTCACGTGTCCCCCAAAACCGTCAGGAAAACTGAAAACCACAGCCCACGTGCTCCTTCCTACTTCTGACCTCCAGGCCCAGGCTATAAAAAGCACGCAGATGCGGAGCGTAACCCGATTTTTAAAACCAGGCCCGCGGGCTGTTCTCCACGGGAAGGTTTTGTCTCTATAGTCACTTAAAAGCAGTGCCCCCCCCCTGCCCGCGGTGAGCCAGACGCCCCAAAAGACATTTCCCGCAAACACGGAGCGAAAACGCAGATTTATCCTCACGGCAGGGGGCCTGCCTGTGCCGCGGGGCTTGAGGAACGGCCGCAGCGGCGGTTCTGAGTCCGGGTTTCCCAGTGAGGAACTGAAGTCACAGCTGCTCGCTCTCTGGAAGCGGCAGATGCAGTGCCACGGTCTCCCGAGTGACCACAAAGCACGGTTCGCCTCCGTTGCAAACCGGGGGTGCCCGGGCGACGGCGCACTCTGCGGGGCCCTCGGAACCCCCGGACATGCGAACCAGCCAGCGGCCGTCGGGTCTGGGGCAGACCCCGCGTCGCTGCCCGGGCTCCCGGGACCTTCCGGGCACAGAACTAATGGCCACGTGCCAGGCGTGCTCCAGGGGGCAGGAGCGGGGCCCTGTGCGGCAGCGCCTTCGGGCCCGTCCTGCGCCCCCAGGAGGGCCCCATGCAGCCCGGTTGGGGGCCGTGCTTCCCTGAGGGTGTGGGGAAGGCGGGGACCAAGCCCGCTCGGGGCGTTGATGTGACTGTGTCTGTTTCGATTGGAAGAAAATGCTGACGTTTGAATCCAACTTCTTTGAAAACGTCTCCCCCCTTTTGCTGAGGATGCTCAGAATCCCCAGTCCGGGAAGCAGAGCCCAGCGGCGCAGAGACGGCTCTCCGGCCGCCGTGACGCCAGCCCGGGGCGCCGGGTCCCCCTCCTGCTCAGCTCCTGCAAGCTGTCCCCTCCCTGCTCCCTGCTCCCTGCCTGCCGAGCTCACTGGCTGCGGATCCCACGCTGAGGCGCAGGCGCCGGCCCCCCGAGGCTGCTCCGCGCCCGCGCCGCGTGTCCCCAAGGGGCGCTTGGGGACTTGCTAGCCCCGTCGGGCTCTGTTCAAGCTGGGGCTCCGGGTCCGTGACCGTGTCCCCTGTCCTTCCGTAGAATTCCGAGGGGGACGCGCAGACCCTGACCGAGGTGGACCTCTTCATCTCCACCCAGAGGATCAAGGTGTTGAATGCGGACACACAGGTGAGCACTTGAAGAGCGTTGTTGAAATGCATGCGAGTGACCCCCTGACGCCCCGCGCGGGCCCCCCGGACACCCCCAGACCACCTCTGGCTGCAGGGCGGCCGAGTCTCCCGGGCCGGGCGTGTGCCGGGGGCAGGGCTGGGGGCCGGGCCGGGCGGCCCCGCGCAGTACTAGGTGGGCTGCTGGGAGCGGCGGGCTTGTCCCGGGGACAGCACTGCCGCAGGACACTGGTGTGACCGACAGCCTTAAACGCGGTGCAGGGGCTGGGGAGGCGACGCGGGCGAGAGGGGCGGCCGGAGGGGGGCCGGCGGCCATGGCGGTGGACTGTGGTGTTGGTCGGTGGCCCTGCTGGTGGGTGGCCCTGCTGGGAGGTGGCGCTCTGGTGGGTGGCCGCCTCCAGTGAGGACAGTGGCCGTGCCATTGACGTGAGCTGGGAACGGGGGAAGCAGCACGTTGCTGACACCGAGAGGGAGACTCAGGCCTCCCTGACAGCGGCCCCGGGTCGGGAGATGCCGAAGAGCTGCCCCCAACGGTCCCGTCCTGAAGTGTGGCCCTCGTGGTCATAAACGCCGGCACGGCCGTGGCCGGGAACCACCCGCTTGGGGAAGACAAACGGGGAGCAGCGTTCGCCGCGGGGCGGGTTCTGTGGGGAAGGAAAGGGCTTCAGAGGTCGCAGAAACGCCCGGTTCTCTCTCGTGCAAAGAGGACAAAGGCAAAAAGAGGGAGTGATTCGTTTCCCAGCGCGCAGGGGGCGGCCTTGTTAGGTGAGGGGCGCGGCCGGGGGGCCCGGGAGGTCCCTGTCCGAGAACAAACGTGGCCGTGGACCACCACCCTCAGGCGCCCCGTAACCTAGGGCTGCGGTCCGCAGCCTGGGGCGGCTGCTCCCCCAGGGGCGTTTCCCAAGGGCTGGAGGTGTCCGGTTGTCGCCGCTGGGGAAGGTGGCGGGCGCTCCTGGCTTCTCAGGGCGGCGCCAGGGGTGCCGCTCCACCTGCTCGGGCGCGCGGGGCCGGCGCTCCCAGCCAGGAGTGGCCTGGACCCGCGCCTCGGCTCTGGGGGGGCCGGGCAGCCGGGAACACGCGTGTCCTTCAACGGCACGCTCCCTCGCGCGGCCCTCTCCCGGCAGGAAACCATGATGGACCACGCCCTGCGCACCATCTCCTACATCGCGGACATCGGGAACATCGTGGTGCTGATGGCGCGGCGGCGCATGCCGCGCTCGGCCTCGCAGGACTGCGTGGAGACCACCCCTGGGGCGCGGGAGGGCAAGAAGCAGTACAAGATGGTCTGCCACGTGTTCGAGTCCGAGGACGTGAGTCGCCGCGCCGCCGCCCCCCAGGGCTGGGGGTCCTGGCCGCCGCCGTGGGCTTGTAGCTCCGAGTGGGCAGAGGCCGCGAGCCGTTTCGTTTCACTTCACGACGTCAGTCCACCAGGAGCCGTTTCTGAACCGGACCGCGGCTCAGTGCCCTGGCAGGGCTGCCGGAGGAAACCTTCGGATGCCTCTTCCCTCCTGACAGGGCCGGGCCCTCCACTGTGGGCGGGAGGCGGGATGCGCGTGGGCCCATGGCCTGGGCCCCTGCGCGGGGGGAGGCACCTCCGCGCCCGAGCGTAGCGCTGCTTGTGCTCAAGGCCTGACGCGTTAGAAACCATCCTGAGGCGGTAGACGCGCTGAGGGACCTGCGCGCCGTGGGCCCCCTCCTGGAACGGGAAGGGTGCGTGTTCTGAGCCTGTAGGGGAGATGGATGGAGGGGCTGCCGCCGGGCGGGGCGGAGCTGGGGGCGGGGTCCTGCGGGCGGCCCCGAGGAGGGCTTTTAGATCATTCTCTCCCCCGCAACCGCCGAGAACACCTGGCAAGGGCTCCCTTGTGCACATCCAGACTGGAGCGCGTCTCCAGGACCTGGCACCGCGGGGAAGGGACCCACGGTTTCGTGTGCAAGGACGCGGCGGGCAGAGGCGGTGCGCCGGGGTCAGGAGAAATTACACACAGACCCACTAGCACACGCCCCCCCACCCCCGCGAGCAGGTGGCGGGGACACCTGGACGGGTGCTGTGGCGACTCGGGGCTCAGGGGCCTGGGGACGGGCATTGAGGCCGAGGGACTGGGTCGGGGGTGCAGTTGTGGCCCAGTGTCATCAGCTCAGGGGAGATGAGGCGGAGTGTGTCCTTGTCCTTGAGGAGGGGAGGACCCCTGGTGGGGACACTGGAGGACGCTGAGGGCGCCAGCGGTGCACTCAGAGCCCCAGGTTCCCCGCCAGGCCAGGGACGGCTGTGCACGCTCCCCACCCGCCCTCGTGGCAGGGGACACGCCGGCCCTGGTTGGGAGCTGGGGGGCAGGGAGCCCGGTGGCAGGGTCCCGTGTGCGCCCCGCCCCCGTCCAGGGGGCAGGATCCGGAAGGCAAGGCAGGAGGGGGCAGGGAGACCGGCAGCACACACGGTGCCGCCACGGCCTCCTGGGTCGCTCCCGCGTGGTCCCGGCGTGGGCGCCTCGCTGTCCCCAGGAGCTCCCTTGGGGCGGGGCTGGCCGTCCCGGCAGCACCCAGGGCGGCATCCGAGGATGGTGGGAGCCCCCCCCACGGCATCGCCCGAGAGGTGCTGCGGGCGACTGCGAACCCTGAGAGCCCGGGGAGGCAGGGCTGTGCAGAGCAAGGTCCTGTTCAAGCACAGCTGCCCGTCCCGCGCGGGACGCGCCCCTGCAGCGCCCAAGTGACGCGCTGTGTGGGGTCAGATCTCGCGTCCTCACCTGCGTTTGGGCCTGTTCCCCTGAGGTTCGCGGGGCGGGGGGGGGTGCCCACACAGGGACCCCCTCCCTTGGTGGCCACTGGGGAGGCAGGTGGCAGGAGCAGGCAGACCAGAGCCCCTGGGTGGGAGGAGGCCCCGCTGGGGGCTGAGAAGCCACCAAGAGTCCCCCTGCTCTCACAGGCTGCATGGCTGTGAACATCCCAGATGCTTCCCGGGGACGCGAGGCCTCAGCTCTCCCCTCCCCAGCCAGCGGCAGGCAGGCCCCCCGGCGATGGCCAGCGTTAGACACTCAGTAACGCCCACACGCGTGGTTCTGTGGAAGCAGACGCGGTCTGCCCGTGAGGCCTGTGCTGGCGCCCTGCCCCTCAGTGGCCGCAGCCGCTCGGGAGCGAGGACGCAGGCAGCTGGCGCTCCCCAGGGAACCGAGTGCACGTCCGCTTTCGGAAGGAGACGGGCGGGGGCGGGGGCGGGGGGAGCCAAGACGGTACAGCCGCCAAGGAAGCCACAGCACTGACGTTTAGCAAGTGACTTACAGCTTTTGCAGACTTTATTCGACACTGTGCTTTGTCCTAGAATGTCTGGGACTTAACGCAGCTCAGGTGGGGCAGCGGGGACGAGGCCCCGGCGGGCGCAGCACGGCGGCTTTTGCCGGGAGAGGGTCCGCGGTTCCTCTCTCGGGGGCCCCTCTGCGCCGGGTTCCGCGGGCCTGGCCCCCGCCGCCCGCTCAGGCCGCCCCGCCCGCAGGCGCAGCTCATCGCGCAGTCCATCGGCCAGGCCTTCAGCGTGGCCTACCAGGAGTTCCTGCGGGCCAACGGCATCAACCCCGAGGACCTGAGCCAGAAGGAGTACAGCGACATCATCAACACCCAGGAGATGTACAACGACGACCTCATCCACTTCTCCAACTCGGAGAACTGTAAGGAGGTGAGCCGTGCGGGGCGGGGGGCGCGGGGGCCGCGGCAGGGCCCGGCATGCACCCCCGAGCTCCCGGCCCGCTGCGGGCCCAGACGCCTCCCGGCCGCCGCTCGCTCCTGTCTTGGACGCTGAGCACTTGTGTGTGAAATGAGGTGTTGCTGCAACAAGGAAGCTGATTACAATCAGTCTTAATGACCTTGAAAATGCGCCTGTTCACGCGCGCGGCGCGGAGAGAGGTTTCTGATGAGCAGTGGGAGGCAGCTCTGCGCGGGGCGTGGGTGCTCTGCCGGCAGCCCCGGGGGCGCACGCCCCTGCGGCTGGACGGGGACAGGAGGGGCCGCCCTGCCGAGTGAGGAGGATGGTCCCGGCGTCCGGTTGCGCGGCTCCGGCTGCTGGTGGACTGGGCGGCAGGCGGAGTCCCTGAGAGGGTGACCCTCGGGGCCGAGAGGGCTTTTCCAGACGAACGCAAAGCGGGGTCCAAGGGCTGGAGGCGGAGGACACCCGTCCGTGGGGCCGGGGTTGGGGCGGGGCGGCCGCACGTGCTCAGCCGCCCCCGCCGCTGCCCGCAGCTGCAGCTGGAGAAGCACAAGGGCGAGATCCTGGGCGTGGTGGTGGTGGAGTCGGGCTGGGGCTCCATCCTGCCCACCGTCATCCTGGCCAACATGATGAACGGCGGCCCCGCCGCCCGCTCGGGGAAGCTGAGCATCGGGGACCAGATCATGTCCATCAACGGCACCAGCCTGGTGGGGCTGCCCCTCGCCACCTGCCAGGGCATCATCAAGGTAGGCGCGCTGGGTCCTCCCTGGTGGTCCCCGGCCCCCGCCCCCCACCCCCCGCCAGTCAGAGGGGGACCGGGCTGCCCCAGAGGTGGGCAGCACGTTTGGCTTCCCTTCGCTCAGCGCTGACCCCAGGCTGGGGACCCAGAGATGTAGGGTGGCCCCCAGTCCTGGCCGGCCTGGGACGGTCCCAGGTGAGCCCTGCGCGTCCACTGCCTGGGGAGGGCTGGCCGCCCTCGTGGACCTGGGCGGCGGGTCTCAAGCATGAGAGGCCACTCTGAGGGCGTCACCTGTGGGCTCGCAGCCTTAGACACTGCGGAGGGGGCACGAGCAGGTGGCCCCAGTGCCTTGGCGCCCGGCCGCCCCATGTCTGAGGGCGCCTGAGGCAGAGGGTCGGACGGACAGGCCGCCCCGGAGCTCCTGGCGGGGCAGGGCGTGGGCCCCTGCGTCCGCGCCCCACCTTGACCTTGGCGCTACAGGACACGCCTCCCTCCTGCTCAGCCTGACCCTGTGCGCTGGCCCCTGGGTGGCCTTGTAGACAGACAGACAGACATGGGACGCGCCTCAGTCAGCAGTGCCCGTGGCTTGGGCAGCTCCCAGGTGCTGGGGTGCCAGGCTCTGGCAGGGCTGCGTGTGGGGCCGCCACCCCCTGGGGCGCACGCCTGGCCTGGGGAGCGAGCCGAAGCTGCAGCGTGGGAGGCCCGGCCACCCTGACCCCCGCCGTCCGCCCCCCGCCGGGGGACGCATCGTTCTGAGGGAGGCGTCCCCACAGTCCTCGCAGACAGGAAGTGCTGCCCGGGGCGGCGCCGGGTCGGGCCGTGTGCGGCGTCACGGGGCAGCTGCTTCGCCCAGATCGCAGCCCTGCCCCGAGGCCGGGGCAGGCGATGATGCCTTCGCCCCTTGACCAGGAGGCGAGGCCGGGAGGTGGGGCCTCAGCCCGCCCCGCCCCCGGGCTCACCTGGCCCTGCTCTCACAGGGTCTGAAGAACCAGACGCAAGTGAAGCTCAACATCGTCAGCTGCCCGCCGGTCACCACGGTCCTCATCAAGCGGCCAGACCTCAAGTACCAGCTGGGCTTCAGCGTGCAGAACGGAATTGTGAGTCCGCCGCCCCTGTCCTTGCCCACCTGCACGCTGGGGGCCGGGTGCAGGGAGCTGGGGGCGGGCAGCCCCCTCTGAGCCGCCGCAGCGAGGACACGCACGGCCAGTGGCGGCCTCAGACTCACTGCGTTCAGCTAACAGACGCCCATGTGCTTGTTCCCACGTTCGCTCGCTCACCCGGTCAGACGGGGGAGGCAGGAGGGCTTCTGGGAGGCGGCGCCGTGGGGCTCGTGTACACACTGGTGTGCCCCCCACTCTGCGCCTGCTTCTCGGGCGGGAGCTCCCGGTTTCTCTCTCCTGCGTTGGGCCAGCGTGAGCTGTGTCCTTGGTTCTGGGGGGACCCAGAAGGCGGCTGCTGGTGAGAGAGAGCCGTCCCCGCTGTCACACAGTGCGGCCGGTGGGCGCCCAGAGCTGGGGGCGGCGCAGGGCGGGCCGCCAGGCCCGTTGCTGTCTCTTCGGGTTGGGGCGCGTGGGCGGCATCAGAGACGCTCCCCAGTTCAGCACACCCGTGGCGCCGGCGCTCGGGGAACCCGCCTTCTCCCATGGGTGCCGCCAGGGCGGGGCGCCGGTTTCCCCAGTCCCTCTGGTCTCCTCGTTGCTGGGGCTGCTAGGCCCCTTGTCCCTCTGGCTGGGCCGTCTGCCCACCTGTCAGGTCTAGGAACCGGCAGGTGAAGGCCGCCCTTGCACAAGCTCTTCTCACACGGCGCCTCTGTGGAGCTGGTCTCTGCGAGGCTGGTCCGGTCAGGCAGTGGCATCATCTGTCACCGTTTCACAGGGAGGTGAAGTCACTTGTCCCAAGGCTCCCCGCTGCAAGTGACAAGGGTGGGATTGGGCCTGAGGACAGCTTGTCATTGGGAACGTGCCCGTCTAGCATCAGGCGCCAGGTCAGGGTGTCAGCAAGCAGGCCGGCACCTGCGTCCGTAGCTGCGGCCCAGGGCGTCCACGGCCACGCGCACGAGGGCCCCTGTGGCCGGCCGCCTCTCCCTGCCGCGCCCTCCGGCGGCGCCGTGCCCGCAGCCAGGCTCCCCCGAGTCCCCGCAAAGTTTGCCGACGTCTGAGTTAGTCTCGCTCAAGTGCCTTTTCCATTTTCAGCTTCATTACACGCAGAGCACACGGCGTTAGCGCGCAGACAGGCCCCAGGTGGCCCCGCTGACGCCTTTCCTAAGTGGCCCCTCCTCTCTCGTCCCACAACACTGGCCCGGAAGTGGGGGCGTCTCCAGCGGGGACACCGCCTTCCTCCTGAGGGGGCGCCTGTGACGTTGGAACCGCGGCTCCGGCCTCCTGCGCGCCTCCACCCCCGGGCTCCGGGTGGGGTAGGGCGACTCAAGGCGGCTGCGACGGGCGGGAGCCTCCGAGGGGACGGCGAGCTGACCTGCCATGTGTCTGCTTAGATCTGCAGCCTCATGCGGGGGGGCATCGCCGAGCGAGGGGGTGTCCGCGTCGGCCACCGCATCATCGAGATCAACGGGCAGAGCGTGGTGGCCACCGCCCACGAGAAGATCGTGCAGGCTCTGTCCAACTCCGTCGGAGAGGTGAGGCTCCGGGCGCCACGTGGGGGCCCCGTGGCCGCCGCCGTGCGCTGCAGGGACGGCTAGCGCTTCACGGCAGGGGGGCGGGGGGTGGGCGTGCAGGGCCACTGCCCACAGGGCCACCTCGGCGGGTCCTCCCTCCTTCCCACGGGACAGCCTCCGGGGGCGGCGGGCGGGCGGGAGGAGAGCCGTCAGCCCCCTCTCCTTGGCAGATCCACATGAAGACCATGCCCGCCGCCATGTTCAGGCTCCTCACGGGCCAGGAGACGCCACTGTACATCTAGGCCCCGCGGAGCCAGACGCCGGAGCCGGGACCGGACCCCGCAGCCCCTGCCCAAGGACACTGGCTCCCGGAGGGGGCCTCACCCCCTCCTCCTCTTTTCTGACACAAAGGGGTGTGTCTTTAGTGAAGGAGAGTCACAGGAACCAGTCTCTGTGGACCAGTCCCCTATCTTGCCGCATCCTGATCTGTTTCTCATTGCGACTGACAAGGTGTGTTGGTACCTCTGTGTGGTGTGGCGTGTCTGTCCTCCCTGAAGCCGGGAAGGGGGTCCCCACCGGCCCCAAAGGGGCGGCTGGTGCCGCTGCGTCGTCCACGGGAGCGAGGGCGGCCCAGCTGTCCGGCGGGCGTCGTGACGGACGTTTGGGGACACGATCGTGTTGAACTTTGAGGAAGGAGCCGTTCCTGAGCCAAATAAAGGGTGATGGCCACATCAGAATCCCGTCGTCATCGAGAAGCTGCCACTGGTTCGACTTCGCATCCCGACAAGCCGCCCCGCCCTGCAGACCTGAGGGTCTTCCGGTCGCCTGCTGCCCGTGCCCCTGCCCCCTGGCGCCTGGTCGGACCGGGCACACCCCTCCCCCAGGGACACGGGGGCGTCCCTCCGCCTCCGCACACGGGCCCCCCACCGAAACACAGGCCCCCCCGAGCGCGCGCCCTGCGCCGCCCCCGGGCAGCGGGCCGTCGCCAGCAGCAGACGCGCGCAGGTCGACGCCCGCGGAGCCTCGCTCAGTCCCTTAGAGAGCAGTGTGAACTGACGTCGTTTTGTCCGGAAGCCTCCTTTCTGGCCCAGGCCTTGAAGACTACACTGTGACTTAAGAAGCCTTACCATCCTAAAGCTTTAGGATTCCCGTGTTCAAGGAGTGACCTGTGTGTTGCATGCAGCCACCTTAGGAAGACTCGCTAATGTCACTAATAAACCCGAAGTCATGACGAAAAGCCGTCTGCCCGGCTGGTTTGTTCAGACAGCGGTGGGCGCCGGGCCGTCGCCAGCGTGGCTCCAGGGGGCTGTGCGGTGGCCCCAGCGCCCGGGCCTCGGGGGCTCCCCGGACCAGGCCGGGACGGGCGCTCCAAACGGCCGGCCCCTCGCCCAGCGGCGTCCCGGCAGGGAGACCGGCTGCCCACGGGGCAGGGGCCGCTGTGGGCTCCGCCCCCCGGCGCGGTGTGCGCGCGCGCGACTGTGTACGGCGCAGTTGGGCCACCGTTGCCAGCGTCCCCCTACCTGCAGGTCCGGGGCGGCCTGTCTTGAGTAACCGCGGACTCTACTGCACCCGCATAGCTTATCTTGGTCCGGGGCCACAGTCCTGGGGTCACCTGGCGTGGGGGCAGGGCTGCGTGTGAGCGGGGGGCCTTGGGCCCGCCCGCAGGCCAGCCGGAGAAGGCCCCCCGCCCTGGGGTGACGAGGGTAGGGGTCCCACCCAGGGATACACACATTAAAAAGTCCCCAATTCAAGAGCTTTGAGGCAGAGCCCGCAAGCCCCAGGGGTCCCAGGGGTCACGGGCACGAAGGGGCAGCTCTGGGCTGGGCACCTGCAACCCCCCCCCTGTGCCCCTGGGAGGCCCACGGGGGGTCTTGCCCCGCACTGTGCACACAGGCTCTCGGCGGCCGCCTCCACCCCACTCAGACCTCAGAGACACGGGGGCCGGAAATAGTTTTTATTAAAACACGGATCATTATGAAAACACCGTGAGGTACATTAAATAAATACAGCCTTCCAGTGGTACAAACGGGTCTCCTGTGGCTTGAAAACAATTTCCTATAAATTCTGCCTTAATAGCAGCATCTGTGAATCAATACAGCTGCGGGGGGGGAGGGCGGGGCGTGAAATGAGCGTCCTGTGACTCGGTTTCCCGTGGGCAGCGAGTGGGCAGGGCTGTGGCCAGAGGGGCCCTGACGTCCAGGTGGAGGAGGTGTCCCCGCCCCCCGCTCCCCCCGCCATCGGCCACAGAGCGGGGTCCGGAGCGCCCGCCCCCTCAGCCCCTCGCTGTGCCCAGCCCGGGTCAAATGACAGAGGTCACAGGGGCTGTGGCCCCCTGTGGGTCATGGGGGGGGGCAGCGAGAGCGCCCGGGCCTCGGCAGAAAGGGGGCCAGCAGGGGGGGCGGTCCCGCTGTGATGTGCCGCTGAGCAGAGCAGCCCCGCAGTTCCGGAGCCCGTGAGGGGGCCCCGGCCGTGCCTCTCTCCCCAGGATCCGGACGCCTGGGCCTGGGGGCGCGAGGGACCCAGCAGGTGCAGCCCGGCTGTCCCAGAGCAAACAAAGCTGAGCAGAGAGGCTGCGGGCAGGGCGCTGAGAAGGGCTGAAGGTGTGGGCTTCGGGCCACACGCCCCTGTGCCCTTAAGGGGCAGCCGGGGCAGGCGGCAGAGGAGGAGAGAGAAGCCGCAAAGGACAGAGGGCACCAGGCCAGGCTCTCGCGAGTCCCTGGACCTCTGCCGCTCAACGGAAACACATGTGCCAGAGCGCCCCCTGGAGGGGGGGTTGGGGAGGGCGCGGGGCTGGCCACACTCTCCAGGTTTCACAGCTGCACACACGGCCCGCCCAAGGGCCTGGCCCAGGGGCACGGGGACACTGCAGCCACTGGAAAGGTCCTCCTCTAGGGCCAGTGTTGGGGGGCACAGCTGGCAGATCTCAGGGGACGCCCCTTGGGAAAGTCACCAACTAACATCATTGAGAAAACTTAGAGAACAGATTTCCCGGGTTAGAGTCTGAATAAAGTGCTTTTAAATTTACCTCCGAGATGTCTGTCTGCTGGTCCTCAGACGGTGGGACCAGGAGCTCTGGCTCACGCAGCTGCGGGGGGCGGCGGCCAATCAGTCCAAGCGCCCACAGCAGACGGCACAGCGGCGTCCTTCCCACCTCCTGGGTTCCTGGCGTCGCGGGGCGCTCCGGCCAGCCCTCCTCCTGCAGGCCTCTTGCCGCCTTGTCCATCCCAGGGGCCACGGGCCACCGTGCCGGCCCCGGTGCAGGTGGCGGCCATTGTAGGTGGTGCAGCTCCCGGCAGGCCCGTGGCTGCAGAAAGTTCCAAGGACAGAGCTGCTCCAGGGCCACCGCTGGGAAGTGGCCGCCGCTGATGCTGCCAAGGTGCCCGAGCTGCCGGCCAGAGGAGGCTGGGCTCCCGCAGGCCCGACTCGGTGGGTGTGTTTGCCAAGAAACGGCTGGGCCGCCAGGGCCCCGCTTCCTCAGGAGACAAGTGAATCTGGGAGGCCTTCCCGCAGACGCCGAGGAAACCCGGACGGTGAGCCTGTCACCCACCGGTGCTTGGGGTTACAGATCCAGTGACGCACGTCCGCTCCGTGGTCCTTGAACCAGTTACGAGACAGCGCAGAGCAGCACCCCATGGAGGGAGGCCAGGCAGCGACAGGGGTGCCCCCGAAGCCTCTCGCCACTGTGTCTCCCGGCCCCGGCGGGCCCCCCACTGCACGCTTGTCAGCACGACAGCCTGTGGCCCTGCGGGCCCAGGGCGGGCCCAGCGCGGATCGAGGGCTGAGGACCACGCGTGGACAACGCACTCGAGAAAACGGCCTCGTCGCCTGATGTCGCCTCCGTCCACGTGACACCACAGCAAACTGGGGGTCGGGGGTGGGGGAGGATCCGGGTTCTGATGGCCCTGGTTTGAGATTACTTAGTGTCTTCATTCCATGACAGTCGCCTGCCAGCGGTTCTTGTGATGCCGCTTAGTGCAAAGTGCCACTTGCCCGACAAAACCAGAGTCCACGAGGGACAGGAGAGGGTCCTGTTCTGTGTCACTGGGCCGGGTAAGAAGTGCCACCCCGATGACGACTGATTGGATCTCCCTAAGGGAGGGGACAGTCGTGCCCCCACGGCCCTGCTGGGCTGCTGGCCTCTCCCCACGTGTGCACTGGCCGCCAGCAAGGCCCCCGCCTCCAGGCCTGTCCGTGGTCCCCTCTAGACCGGCGACCGCTTCACGCCTGGTCCAGAACAGCCACGCGGGAGGCGACGCTCCTCGGAGGTGACCGCCGCGCGCCGCACCTCAGGGGGCAGGGTGCCGCTGGAGTGCTCCCGAAACTTAGCCACCACAGCCCTACCGCCTGCGAGGGCCCTGCTGTCCGCCGCCGAGCGGGGCCGCTCCTTGCGGACCACCCGCGAGGCCTCCAGCTCTGCGCGCCGCCGGCTTTTCCAGGCGTCTGGCTCCCGGGGCGGGGCGGGCCGGTGCCGGCGGGCACAGGCAGCCGCGATGGAGCGAGACCGGGAAACTAAAAACCAAGGGAAAAGATAAAAATCGGAAAACGACCCAAACCGAAACAGGACAGAAGGCAGCTGCTCCACGAAGCCTTTACAAAGCCGGCGCAGGCATGCTGGGTTGGCGACTGGGCATGTCCCCACTTCGGGTGTCCTTTCTGTCCCTGGTGGGGCCTGGCTGCTCTCAGCTCTGGGTTAAGATGGCATTGAACTAGAGGGCCCGCGGCTTCCCAGAGCCGAAGGGCAGGAGACAGGCCAAACCGAAGCCAGCGGAGCAGGGAGGGCTGTGCAGGGCAGGTCCCCTCCGGTGCCCCCTCTGCTAGAATCTTTGCGCTCACAGGGCCTGGGGCTCCTCGCAGCCTTCCCAGCCCCATGCCCACTGCCCCCAGCAGTCTGCTGGCATCTGCAGACAAGCCTGCCTGGGGGCCGGAGCTCAGCGAGCGCCCTGTCCCCGCGTCATGAGCAGAGGGCAGCACCTCTTGACCCACCAGGCCAAGGCCCCCAAACCAACGCTGGCCTGACGGCATGCCCGGGGACAGCCAGGGGCGGGCAGGCGGCGGTGACCCTGTCACCCAAGAACCAGGTTGAAGCCCGATTCGCCCTGTGTCCAAGCCACACGAGAGAAACGCATCCTGGGTGGCAGCCGGCGAGCCCGAGAGCTTCACGCTCGCGCCCACAGGGCCGAGCCCCTCAGAACAGATTTCACGGGCTCAGCAGCGCAAGCGGCCGCCTGGGTGTCCGGGTCTGAGCCTCTCCCGGGGCGTCCAGCCTTGCGGCGTCTCTGGGCCAGGCTGGGAGAAGAGTTGTCTTGGGCCACACGTTAAATACATTGCGACATGTAATCACAAAAATATCTCGTACTGTTTTAGTTTAGGATTTGGTGTTGGGCCGCAGTCACAGCCGCCCTGGGCCGCATGCGGGCTGGACACCCCGCTCGTGTCTTCCACGCAGAGGGAAGGATGGGCAGGGCCCAGAGGGGAGGAACCCCGTGTCTGGGGGACGCTGTGAGGAGCTGGACCGGGACCCCAGGCCGCTGCAGACCACACGGCCCCCCTTCCCCCCCGATTCGCAGCAGGTGTCACGGTGTTTTAGAAAAGAAGCGTCTCACCGGTCCCCAGAGCAGCCCGAGACGGTCCTGCTTCAAGGTCCTGGCTGCGGGAGGCGTCGTCTTCACCAGAGCGAACGCAGCGCACACCCGGGAGGGAAGAGGGGATTCTCAGTCACACTGCGCTCCGCCTGCGGTGGCTGCGACGTGCACTTGCGATGCCAGCCCAGCAGAGGGCGCCCGCGGCCAGCCCACCGCCGGCACAGTGCAGCGAGCCGGGGCCCCAAACCAACCAGGGCTTTCAGGGGACCCGGTCTGCGTCTGGGGGTCTCCAGGGACCTCAGGGGACACATGCCTTCGCCGGGGGGAACGCTAACCATCCCATTTGGCAACAGCGTGGGATGGGATGCAGAGGCGGCCCTGAGACAGCTCGTCCTCGCACCCCGTCTCCTCGCCATCCTGACACGTCCAGCTGTGCAGGGCACGAATGTCCCCGACAGGGGACAGGCTCAAGAAAGCCACTGGGGCCCCAGAGCGGACCCTCCGCGTGCAGGGTCCCCCCGGCCCTCGGTGTGTGAGCGTGGGCTCGTGTTCGCCCTGACAGCGCCGAGCCTGGGACACGGCGCCCGAGGGGTGGCTTCGGGGGAAGGTCCGCCCGGGGCTGCCCTGTGGGAGCCGGTGACCAGGCGGAGGCGGGGGACAGAGGCAGGAGGTGGGGGTCTCACAGGGGCAACCCCAAGCATGTCCAGGCCACGAGCAATTTCCGCAGGTTCCCGACTCCTTTCAGGGACACCCGGGATCTTTCCCATCTGGGGTTCGGTTGGGCAAGAAAGACCCTCAGGCGAGGCTGGTCCACGCACCCACGGGACCTCTTCCGGGGGTCATTTACTTCCCTTTTATGACAAAGTCCCCACAGCGATGGCCACCGATCTCGCAGCAGACACGCCACCACCGCCCCTCCCACCACAGCGACCCAGGGACGAGGTGGGGGTTCCCCAGCCTCGGGCGCACGGGACGCCCCCACGGCCCTCACAGCCCAGGAGCTGGTGTGAAACACGAATGCCCGGGATTCGGGGCGCAGAGGCTTGGGTGCCACGGCCGACAGCGCCAGCAGAGCGCGGACCGCTCCAGGGGCCGCGTGGGCCGCAGCGAGGCTGCTGGCCGCTCCGGTTCTGGCCCCGGCCCTTCCTGGGCCGCAGGCTGGGGCCTGGCCGACCTACTGGGCGGGCTGTGGCCGCCCCAAGCTTCTCAGCCAGAGCAGCAAGCCTGGAGGCAGCGCGGCGGGGCCCCCGGCTGCCCACCTCCCTTGGGGACCGAGGGCATCGGACCACGGTCTCAGTGTGGCCTCGGCTCTCGGGGGTCACGGGGGCCTGAGGCGTTCAGGGCAGAGCCAGACCCGTGCTGGGGACGCAGGTGGGCGGGGTCAACCGTACCTGCTGCCCTAGAGGAGCATGAGGTGGGGTCGCTGGTGGAGCGGGCCACCCGACTGGGACCCGGACGTGCCCGTGCGCCTCGGCCGGGGCCCTCGGGGGATGTGCGGCCAGGGCGCGGGGCTGGCGGCGGGGCCCCCACGGGGCCGTCAGGGGGCGGGCAGCTGGGGCCTGGCGCGGTGGCACCCTCAGACGCCGCAAGGCTCGTGCTGTCAGCAGGTGCTGCAAGGCAAGGGACACCGCGTCAGCACGGGCCAGGTAACCACAGCGCCACCCAGTGCAGGGACGGGGCCCAGCGCCCATCAGGGCAGAGGGTGCAGAGCCCTCCCCGGGCTACGGGCGGCCTGCCCTCAGGCCCCAACCCGGTCACACCCCGATAACGGGGGCGGGGGGGGGGCGCGGTGCGGGGAGCACCGAGCAGGGTGACAGGCGCTCTGTGGCGCAGCGGGGTGGGGGCACCAGATGCCCCCCAGGAATCATCCCAGGAGGCGTGTGGGTGGGGCCGCACACCGGCCAGGCCCCAGCGACTGAAGTCAGAGGCCCGGCGCAGCGCCGCCCAGGCGGCCCTGGCAGGGCGCACGTGCCGGTCCGGGGGGCGGCAGGGGTGCCGGGCGAGCAGGGCCCGCGCAGAGAAGGCGCGGACACCAGGGCATTCCGGCCGGGCCTGGCAGGCACAGACCCTGAGCCCCGCACAGAGTGCCGCCCCGCACCCGCAGTGCAGCCCCGGGTCAGCCGCCTGCGCGGCGCTCCCGGCCAGCAGCCTCGGCGGGACCTGGGGAGGAGCCAGCGTGGCGGCTCCTCGGCTCCTCTGGGAACCCCACGGGCGGGCCTGGCTGGCAGCGCTCGGACCAGCGGGCGGGGAATCCCGAGGCCCCTGCAGTGTGCGAACACGCTCCCCGCCTGTGGCGCTGGGCAGGCCGCGCTCACCCCTCGCTCTCCGGGGGAGCCCCCCGCGGACGGGAGGACAGATGCGAGTCTGTGTGAACGAGATCCCCAGGGGACACACTCGCACATTAAGGCCCGAGAGGCTGCTCCCTGCACTGTCCCCTCTCCCCTGTCTGCCCAGCCGTCCATCTGTCCATCTGTCCGCTGAGCACACAAATCCTTCCAGATGGTCAATCCTGTCCTAAAATACCGCGCAGAGGAGGAACTCTACAAAAACAAGGGCACAGCCTTGGGCTGGAGTAAGGCTTTGTAAACTGGACAGAAAGCATAAAGGAAAAGCTTGGTGATTTTGATGAAACAGCAGCAGCGTGCACTGTGCACGGCACAGGCACGCAGGGGACCAGGCACGCGCCGAGGGGTCACGATTCGGAAAAGCGTTACTCGCACGTGTTTTCTCACCTCTGTGTAGAGTGATTGGTTACTCTTATAAATCTATAAAAAAAAAAAAAATACTGCACGAGGAAGAAATGGACCAAACACTGACCTACTAGCGGACATGTGAAAAGGTGCTCAAACTTAACGGCATGTGTTTGTATCATGTTCAATATGTTAAAAAACAAAATCTGCCCTGGCCCGGTGGCTCAGTTGGTTGGCACGTTGTCCCGTGCACCAGGGCTGTGGGTTCGGCACCCAGTCGGGGTGTGTATGGGAAACAACCGACCAATGTTTCTGTCTTTCTTTCCTTTCTCTCTTTAAAGAAAAAAAAAAAAAATCAATGAACATATCCTCGGCTGAGGATTTAAAAAAATATATATTTTTTAATTCAACTGAGAGCATTTTGAGATCTCATTGGCTACTTTTCACCAGCGGGAGAGCAGGGACTACCTGGTTCACAGAAAGTCTGCCGCCACCTCTGTGCCCGAGAGAGGAAGACACGGACAGAGCGGAGCAGCGGGGGGAGGGAGAGAAGGCAACAGGAGGAGGAGGAGGGAGAGGCACCCTTTGAAAACGCTAGACGTGCTACTGCCAACACCGGCAGGGTAAGCTCACCTTGCGCGCTGCAGCCAGCAGCGGCTCCTGGGTCCCGGGGGCTGGTCTCGGTCCCCTGCTGATGGGCACTGGGAGGCTGGAGCACGAACAGAGGAGTGAGTGGCAAGAACAGAGGAGGGGACAGCGCAACAGCCCCCAATGCAAAGGCTGCCTCCCAGCTCCCCTCCGGCAGGAAGTGCTCCGAGGCGGGCGCTCACCTCTCCCTTCTCTCCCCAGGAGGGGCGGGCGTGAGGCTGAGGACGCCCTGGCCAAGGCCAAGGCCAAGGCCATTTCTCTGACCTTCTGCAACAGAACGTGGCCCTGGACCCTCCAGAGTGACCGCAGGAGGTGGAAGTCCCGGTCCTCCGTTCTGACCCTTTCCTCTCAACCGCCCTCCCCGCCGCGTCCACTCCAGGAAGAAGGCGGCGGCCGGGGACGCGCAGTGTCAGCCCCCGCATGCTCTGGGCCACCACAGCTAGGACCCGCGGGGGCGCCTCCGAAACAGGCGTGGCCTTGTTGGGTGCCCAAGCCGCCCAGCGCCCGCATGGGCTCCCTTCCCTGGGTCTCGGCGCCAAGGCCGCCTCCCTGGCTGAGCCAGGGCTCAGGGTCCAAGTTCAAAAGGCGGCGGGGGGCGGCGGGGAGCGGTTTCTGGGTTGAACGTGGCCCCGGGGCCAACTGCCACGAGCTGTGGTAGCTTCTCAAAGGGGCCCATGAGGCTCAGAGAGGCTGTGGGACGCGAGGGGCCCCGTCCTCGCCTCTGCTCAACGGCCCCACCCAGGTGTGTGCCCGAGTGTGATGAAGACCCAACGCTGGAGTCCCTGGGCTCAAAAAACAAAACACCCCAAGCCCCGTGCTCTCTCAGGACTCCCCCGGGGACACGCTTGCAGGCCACACACTCCGGGGGCAGCCGCCGAGGCCGGGCGGCCCCTGTCCCCTGCTCGTCCCCAGCCACTCCCGTCAGATCACCCACAGTCCGCCTTCACCTCTCCTTTTGCTCCCAGGGTGGCGCTGTGGCAGGCGTGACCCTCTTCCGACACTGGGGCCTTTTTAAAATGATCCCAATTACATAAAAACACTATACAAGCGCTCCCCTCCCTTTTTACCAAAATCACTACATGCCAATAAACAATTTTCAAAATCCCTGTCAACAACCTTCTCTAAATCCCCCCAACAGAGACCAGTACCCTAAAGCTGTGTTTTCCCCCCATAAATCTCCTGTAGCTTTTTTTTTCCCCCCAGGGGGAGGCGAGTAGCAATTTCAACAACCACTATCCCAAAGAAAGCTCCTGGTAATGAAAAAAATATAAAGAAAACAAGAGAAAGAAAATACCCAGTGGGACAGGTCAGGAGGAAATTGGATTTGCTTCCTATTTGGCGGGGGCGTCCCGGGTCCCCGGCCAGATGTGGCTTTGAGAGGAGCCGGCTCGGCTCCTGGAGGTGGGTCCATCAGCGCTCGCTGAGGACGGGGGTGAGACCGAGGTTCCGTTTGAACTTGGCCTTCCTTGATGTGCAAGCTTCCGAGCCCTGTGGCAGCCGTGGGGGAAAGAACTGTTCGGTTCACCCAGCATTTCTGATTAAATATAAAGGCGGTGAATGCAGTGGAGGGGAAAAAAACACATTTGTAGCCCAGAATTTAAGTTGAAACTTGAGTTTATAAATAAAGGCTCAGAACAGAGCTCTTACAGGGGAGGGGGTGACGGGGTTAGCCCGGCCTTTATGTAGTAACAGACAACACTCCTTTTAGGTTGTGGGTTCGATCCCCAGGCAGGGTGCATACAGGAGGCAACTGACGGATGTTTTCATTGTTTCTTTCTAACGTATCCGCGGGTGAAGACTGAAAAAACAAAAGTCTTTTGGTATTGAGATAAGGGCGCCCAGTTCTCCTCTCTCCCTCTCGGTTAGGAAGCTCCGGAAACTCCGTAGCTACCACACCCTGCATGGAAATTCTGCGGCCGAACAGGACCGCCCTTGGAGACACGACTGTCGCTGAGGCTTCCCGAGGCTGCGTCCCGACTGCGGACGCTGTAAACCCTTTGCACACCCGCAGAGGCCGTGGGCCGGCGCCGCCTCGGGGGGCGGCGGGGGGAGGGCGGCCTGCCTCCTGCCCCCTGGGCCCTGGGCCTCCAGGGGCAGGGTTTCCCGGCTCCCCGCACCTGTCCATGCGCGGCCCGACCGCTGTGCTCTCTGCACCGACCCCCGAGATCCCTGAGCCCTCCCCGGGGTCACCTGCATGGCCTGACCACTGTGTCCTGCACTGGCTGCCGTGTGGCCTTTCAGGCGTCCACGTCACTCTGCCCTGGCCCGCGCCCTTTGCTATTCCGCGATGCCAGTGACGATGATGAAAAAGCCAAAGAGAGGCAAGTGACTTTTGGTGACTTGGCGCCTATGATGTACGGAGTCCCGTGCTGGGTCCATGACAAACACCCTGGCCCATCCCTGCTTCACAGACGAGGAGACTGAGGCTCCCCCTACATGTCCTGAGGGCCCGTGGTGGGCCGGGCACCTCCCTGCCCCGTAGCCGCCAGGCCAAGGGCAGGACCAGGGAGCCCCCCTCCACCAGGTGACAATGACACGGAGTCAAGACAGGCCAGAGTCCCCTGGGTGCCCACGGCCAAAGCCCACGGAGCCAGCAGCTTCTGCACTGTGTCCCCAAACACACACCAGTGTTAAGCCCAGATCCCACTGAAAGGAGCCAAGCGGAGGAGGCACAGATACTGGGCCCGCTGGGACCGCGGCAGGCTCTGCCCAGGGGGCCTGGGGCCTCCTGCCCACCGCAGGGCCGGCGAGCCCCACGCCCCGTCCCGCAGGCCTGCTCGGCGGCTCCGAGGGGCAGACCCGCGCAGGGCGCGGCTGGGCAGCCGCAGCCTTACCTGGCCGGCCGGGGCCGGGCCCACCACGGCCTCGTACGGCGGTGGCAGCTCGGAGGGGTAGAGCAGGCCCGGGCTGTTGATGGCCACGTCATACAAGGCGCTGAACGGAGAGGGGACGAAGTCCAGGTGGAGGCTCCTGCAGGAGGAGAGGCGCGGCCACTGAGGTGCGGCTCCCGGGGAAGGAGCCCGAACGCTCCCTGGAAACCCATCAGAACCGTCTCTCCCGTCACACACACAGCGTGTTTGGGAGAGAAGAGCCTAATTCACTAGACAGCGTTAGCTTTTGTTTTCTGGAAAGCTAGCTCCACGTTCAGTCAGCCCGACGGCTCCGTCCGTTCCAATTAAAATGATCCTACAGCCGATTCGATCTTTAATGAACATTTTCACGTTATAATCATTCAACGGCGGTTCTGTGTTTCCTAAGAAAACAAGAGCCGCTGCTGTCTGGCTGGGGTTTTGTTTTGTCGCCTGCAAAGGAACCCACAGAAGCTTCCGTCTCTGCGCTGCTGCCCCCTACATGGCCGTGCTGTTCTCTAAGCAAACGTGGTTTGTCGCCCTGGCCGGTGCGGCCCGGTGGGTTGGAGCGTCGTCCCGCAAACCAGGAGGCCACGGGTCTGATTCCTTGGCAGGGCGCAGGCCTGGGCTGCAGGTTCAATCCCTGCCCGGGAGCACAGGCGAGGCGACCGATGGACGCTTCTCCCTCATATCGATGTGTCTCTCTCTCTCACTTCCTCTCTCTAAGACCAATAAGCCTGCCCTCGGGGGAGCATGAAAACAGAAAATGTGCTTTCGTAGCCTGTGCCCCTCCTCTCCCCTGAAGGTGGGCATGGCCTTCGCCGCGTCTCTCCTCCAAAGGTCATTTGTTTCCTAGCCCCCGTCACGCCAGGGGCATCGGCAGACAGACCCACCTGTGGGCCTCGGCTGTGGGTGAGCAGCTGTACTCAGGAGGGTAGTAGGGGGGCGGAGGCAGAGGGGGGACGAACTCATCGAAGTCCAGGGTCTGGTGGAGGACGGTGCCGTGCGGGGTCGCACAGGCCGGGCTGGCGGAAGGCACCCTCTGCGGCAGGAACTGGGGGGGCGGGGAGAGAGAGAGTCAGAGGTACTGGGGACACCTCGTGTGGCTTGTGTCTAATTAGGCTAATCACGCATAAGCTTTAATTTGGAATTTCCGTAATTTAAACAGTCAGGCCCTGACAGCTAAACACACATTTTAAAATGACGGCTCGGCGAGGAACGCCGCGCCGCCGAAGCCCCCGGAGGCTTTGCTTCCCACCTTGTGACGTGGGAGGCCTCTTTCTAAGGAAAAACACTGCCTTCGAAGCCCTGAATTCCACTCCCACCGCTAAATCTGTATCTTTCGATGATACTCTCAAAGCCTGTGGTCCAAATGTGCCTCAGGTCCCCGGTTTAAGGCAGCACCTCGGCCCTGGCTAGTGTGGGTCATGGATTGGATGTCATCCCACAAACTGAAAGGTCGTGGGTTCAATTCCTGGTCAGGGCATATCCCAGGGTTCAATCCCTGGTCGGGGCGCGTGCAAGAGGCAACCGATGGATGTTTCTCTCACACACCAATGTTTCTCTCTCTCTCTTCCTCACTTCCTTCCCCTTCCCATCTTGCTAAAAATAAATACATCTTTAAAATCTTAAAAAAAAACAAACCAAAAAACACTTCCTACAGTGCATTCATGAGAAAACACCAGACCTTCAGTACAGTCCTCTCGGTCTCCTCCCACGTTTCTATAGTGAAATAAATTTGGGGAACGCTGCCCCTCCTACCCCCGTTGGATCCCAGTAGTGGACATGTGTGTGTCTGAGGCCGAGAAGGCTTGCACCGAAAAACCCGTTAAAAGTGTTACCCCACTAACGGAACATTCCCCAAATACTTCATCGCGGGTCCCTTTGGACACACAGGACCTATTAATACCTTGCAGGCCGAGGGAATTCATACACTTTGGAAAGCACTGCTTGGAGGGAAAAGAATCCATCATGAGCTCCAGAACATTCCATGGGGCAACCTTAAAACAAAGACGCTGCTGCTTGAGGAGCAAATGGAGGTAAAAATCAAACCAAATGAACGCTGTCTCTGCCTGGTTTTCCATTTCTGCCCCTCGAAAGTGCTGATCGATAACGGCTCCGCTCTCTACTCTCTGGTCACTGCTCCCCAGAGGTTACTCGTGACACGGTGCCTGAGACATTCCTCCAGGTCCAATCAATATGTCACTAAAGCAACTACAGGTGCGAAGAGGCCACCTGGGACCTCCCGCTGCCTGAGGGGTAAAGCGAGGCCTCTGGAGCCACAGCATCGGCCCCACCACGGCAGTTCCACCGGGAAATCCCGAACTCCCCGAGCACTGGGCAGGAAGCAGCCGCCTACCACGGGTTCATGAAGAAGATGCCGTTTGAAAGGGTCAGAAAGATCAGCAGGGTTTCAAAGGGTGGGTTTGCAGGCCGGTGCCCCAGGCTCAAGAAGAACGAGGGCGCTAGGGAAAGATGTGTTTAAGGAAAGCACATCTGGATTAGGCTCTAGACGTTAACTCCTAATTCCGGGGGCACTGGGCAGCCAGCGAAGGTTCTAGAGCCGGGGAGCAGCGCTCTTCAGGCTGGGTGGTAGGAAGTGCGCTCTCGCCGCGGTGGATAGGGTGGCCTGGAGTTGACAGAGGTCGGGATGATTGAACACTTATTAACGCATAAGTGGGGCTGAGGTCGCAGTTGTCAGTGTGATCAAATGCTACGACACAGAGGAATGATGGTGGCCTTGTCTAAACAAGTTGCATGTCAGGCTAAAAATGGCTCCTGTGGGTCTTCTCCACACCCAGAGCTCGTCTGGGCCTCTGCCGCTCGTCTGACCAGCAGCTTTGTTTGTTTAATTGTCGACAGAGCCGGGAGCCAACGGCGCCAGGAACGTGGCCCTGCCGTCCGCTACCTGGAAAGCTGTTAGCACTGGCGCTTGCCGCACAGGTCTGAGCCGCCAGGATGTGGCCACAGGCCTTCGAGGTCTTACAGGGAAATACTTTGAAATTAGTCTACCAGAAATGAGAAAAATCAATGGCACACTCAAGCATGAAACACGGCAACGCTTTCCTGTGAAAGGTGCAATTCCACCAGGAATGAGGAGAGCATGCATTTTCACAAGACAGGTGAGAAGTGCAGATGATCCTATTAGCAGGTTTAAACAAGCCTGTGCTGCTGTACTCTGGAGGCTTTGTAAAGGGTAAGCGACAGGCTCCGCTTCTGCTCTAAACTGCGGGCCACCTTTCCAGTGGTGTGCTGGCCCCATCTCTGGGGAGGCCTCTCAGACTCCGTTGGTTTCTAATGCAGCCTTTCACCCTGGCTCCTCAGCCCTTGCAGGGGGACCTGCAAGTCATGCCCCTGCCATTAGCATCTGTTTAATGACACAGAGTCTGTCTCGAAGCCCTAGGTCACCAGCTCTGTACTGTACTCAGATGCTGGGACTGGAAGTCTGCAAACCCCATTTCCCGACTCCCTTGCAGCTGGCTCCCTGTTAGGTTCTGCCAGCAGGGGGTGCTAGAGGGAGCCTGGAAGGCAGGTGGGGGATGTGGAGTTCCTGATGTCCCGTTCCCTTCTTTTTCCTTTCTGTTCTCCCAACCTCAGAGGGTAGGTGGCAGCTGCTTCCCCAGGTGTTCAGCTCTGTGTAACCTCAGGGCTATACCCGGTAACCTTCCTCACTTGGGTAACCAGCTCTTCATATCAACTGTGTTGAAATCCCACAGACCTTAACCCGATATTCAGGGTCTGTTTGTGTCTTATCCGTTCTGTATCCCTAGGGCCGAGCCTGGTGCTGCGGGCACAGCAGGTGCTCAGTAAGCACTAGCCCTATAGCTGAACATCTCCTCCCTGCCAGAGCATCTATCCTGCCTCCCTGCCTGGCTCTTCCGCCTCTGTTTTCAGCCTCCAGTCTCCCGTCTCCCAGAAGAGCTATTTTCAAAGCAATCCCTCACTGAAAAACCTTCCACAAGACCCCTCTGCTCCCTGATCCCATCCGTCTGCCAGCTTCTGTTCCCTCTGACCAACTGGTGCTGAAAAACCTCCTCTGCTCTTTGAACCATCCTTAAGCGCTCAGCACACCTCGTTCCCTTTTCTCAGACCCCCACCCCCTCTCTCCTGGCACCGCACCAGACACCGTTTGCGAGCTGCCGCGCTGCGCACTCCCCAGCCGCACGTTCATGGGCCCATCGCCCGGCGGAGGCCCGAGCCTGCGTTTGGGTGTAATGGCTAAAAAGCAGGCCTCTGAATTGTCACTTCTTTCCTGGGTGGTTCTGCCTGCCCTGGGCTATCCGTCAGAGCCTGATTTGATCCCTGTGGTGAAAAGGGACACCTGGGCCTGGGGACTGGAGCATCGTTCCTGCCCCATCCTCATCATCCGCAAAAGGGGAGTGTGCATTTAAGGCCCTGCTGGAAGGAGCCCCTTCTTATGCGTCTGCCCCGGAAAGGAGGAAACCCCAGCTTAAGCGTCCGCTGACCTCCACGGTGCATCTGGGCCCGGGCCGGGGGGTCTTATGGGAACCCCCGGGGCCACCCGGCCCAGGCAGCTCCCCAAAGCCCACGTAACAAAGCCTCTATGGTTTCGTCCCATCGGAACAATCCAGACCAAGTCTGCGGTGTGAGGGGGGTGTGCAGAGGTCAGCGGGCCTCGAGCCTCATCTTACGGCGCTGCCTGACCACCGAGGGCCCACGGGACTGCGAGCGCATTACTGACCCCGGACCCCAGCCCAGCCTGACAGGGTCGCACTGAGAAACAGTGAGAAGCAGCGGGAAACAGTGCTTAGCAGTCACACACTCAGGCGGCCATGTTGTGCGACTCAAACAAAGGACCGAACCGTGTGAGTTCTCTCCCCCCGAAGCCACACCTCTATCTCCTGCCCGGGGCACGGACGGCGGGTACGGAAAGGCAGGCGGGACAGCCCCGGGGTCTGCAGACAAGGGGCTGGAGTTTCCAGGGCCAACTTTGAGCTCTGAGCGCCCCCCTGCCTTCCAGGCCCCAGGACGGGCGCTGGCCTCCTTTGACGCCCGGCTCCTGACCTCCCTGGTTCACCAGGGAACAGGGTGCCGGTTCTCCCACTGCTGCCTTTCAGATTTTCTATAATACAGGGGGAACCCCCTTCCTAGTCCCCCGGAGCCTGGGTAGGAGTTAGCAGGACTATTACTATAGCAGGTTCCCTAACAGACCTCTCGTTGCCCACCCACCGGAGGAGCCGGCGCTCTCTGGACCTGGTGTGATGACCGTCGGGGGCCCGGATGCTTCCTGGTCCTGCCACCACCCCCCAGGGGAGGGACATGCCACCCTGGGCTGCACCTCTAAGCAAGTGAAGGCCAGTGTGGTCCCCACGGTAATTCACAGTGAACTAGGAACGCAGACAGGACAACTGGCTTGTTCTATGAGAACCAAGTGGCACATGCTGGAAAGACTCTTTAAAGGAGGGTAGCTAAGCAAAAACCGCTGCAAGGCGGCCGTCACGGAACGGAGGAAGACCCTGAACGCTGAGGGGAGGTCTGCGCCCAGATCACTTTGTGTCTCACGGCCATCAAAGGGGAGAACACCTGGTGTGATTTCTATGAAGTTTATATGCAAGAAACGCAGCCCGATGCCCCAAGCAGACCCACGATCAAAGGGAAGGCTCATCCGAAGACGGGCAGACACACACGTTCACCTGCATATTTAAAGTCAAAAGAAAATGCTCCTGCTATGTATGCGTCATTGTTATAACTGCCGGCTGTAATTAGCTTTTCAGGCCCATCAGACACCCAGCGGCCCCAGGCTGATGGGCACGTAGCATCCACGCCCAAAGATGTGATGCTGAGCCCAGACTGCATGGAAAGAAGACCCCGCCTCCGTGGGGGCTGGGCCGGACCTGGGGTGAACTTGAGTGACACTTCGGCTGCTGGGGGGCGGGGTTACATCTCTCCCTGACCCCTTACTAGCTTTGTGGAGGGGGCCCACCGTGATGTCATCTGTGAAAGGTACAGAGCGCCCCCTGCTTTTTCTGAAAGAGTTCTACTTTATAAAGCATAGGACCAGGAGCAAGAGCGTAAATGACAAGACCGAAGATGCCCTTAACAAGCCGGTGCCGAATGGAGGCGTGAGTACCGGCCGCGGCTGCCATGGCTGCCAGTCAAGTGAATGGGGAGAAAAAGCGTTTAATGGGGGAAAAAAATGGAAAAATGAGATTACACCTAAGAAACAAAACTAAAGAGAGGAGACAATAGGCACTTTGGAGCTAAATGCTTCTGCCACTTAAGTATATCAATACACTGGATTTTATCATCCGCTCTCCTTGTGCCGCGATGTCCAAACATCTTCGAGGAACGCAGCTTTCCTAACTTCCTGCACCTCACGTATCCTTGCGTTCATTACGGGAGCTACAGAAATGCTCCATCCCCAAATGCTGGCCCACAGAACAGAGGAAGGAGTGTGGGTTCTTCCCAAGCCAGACAAAGGCCTTTGCTGTGATACACAGCCTGCGGCCTGGTGCCCCCAAGCCCCCTCTCCTGCACGCAGCACACACCGGCTCGACGTTCCCCGGCTTCCCACGTCTGTGCTCTTAGGGCGGAGCTGAACCTTAAAGGTACTTGAAGCGACATGTGTGTGGACACCCTCTAGAGGGTCTTTCAGCTTTTATCCTGACCCCTTGCAGTTGCCTTACCCCCATCTAAACTGACAGCGATAGATTAAGGACCTTCTTTGCTCGACTCTTCCCCGAGCACTCAGTTTTGTTGCAATAGAAATTACTATCTTTTTGGACTTGTCGTTCATGGGTTTTTATAGAATGAGCACTTATAATCCAAATACCACTGGTATGAACTGGTTTGGGGACAGACACAACGGTCTCCTGAAAAGCCCGTAACCAAGTCGCTAAACTGGGGAACGGCGGGGGCTTCTGGAGGGGGCGGAGCTGGGGTGTCACATGGGCGGGGAGCCTCGTGTCCGCCTGGCCTGTGGGCCCACAGTGGCTTGGCCGGGAGGACGCCGCCTGTCCGCAGGAGGCCCTTGCCGGACCGAAACCCGAAACCAAAGCCAGGGAACAACTCAAGGACCCACAGAGAGAGACGTGGCCAAATGATGTGTCACAGCCCCATGAGGGCACAATGCAGCTGCAAAAACGTCTCTCTGCAGAGTGGCCTCGAGGGAGGTCCGTGACAGTTTCAGGCTGTAAAATCAAGTTGCAGAATAACATGCACAGCGTGCTCTTACTTTGGCTAAAAGGAAGGAAGGAAGGGAGGAAGGAGGGAGAGGTGCAGGGAGGAGAAAAGGAATGTGGACCATTTATACATGTTCATCAAGAAAGCTAAGAAATCGAGAAATGCGTGGGAGGGCTCGTGGCAAAGCTTCCTCAGGAGAACAGGAGGGGAGAAGGGAGATTATTAACTTTATCTTTGTGTATCTCCGTATTTTCCTTGTTTCACTGATAGTATATTACTTCTTTAATTAAAGAGCCTAATGAAATGAAGTAAGGAAATGAAAGTCAATTACATCTCAATAAAGCTGACAAGAAAAAAAAAAGAAGGAACATTTTTTAATTAAAAAGAGCTTCTCAGGCCTCCTTAGGAGCAACCTGGTTCCAGGTCCCAACCCCCAGCGTGTGACCGTGACGCCGTCCCTGTCCCGCTGCTTGGGCGCAGGCCTGTGAGGCCAGCCCGGCCCAGCCTCTGACCCCCGTGACAGACGCCGACCTCCACGTGGCCCCCACGCCCGTGCAAAGCCCAACCACACGTCCTATCTCCCAGCCGCCCCGTGAGGATGGCACGGCGCCAGCAGCCTTTTCAGGGCAGAGGAAACCGGCACAAACAGGCGGCGATGTGCTCAAGGTCACACCCTGGTCCCTCACAGGGCCACGGTCAATGCCACCTGTTCTCTCTGCATCCCCTGTGGCTCTGTGGTGTAGCCAGGGCGTGAGCAGGGCCTTCCCTGTCCCACGGCCCATGGTCACAAAGGGAGAGGGACCACCAGGAGGAATCGCATCGATTTCTGCTTCCGGGCCAGCGCTTAGCTTTGTTCACCTACAAAGCATTTAGCGAGGCAGCGGCTGGGGTCGGAAGCCACTGTTGTAGTTACGATGCGACATGATGCTCTATCTCCACACGGAGCTTTACAGTCAACGAGCAACACCGAGGACCACAGACGGTACCCGTGGTCTCCGCCGCAGCATTCCAACAACCAACGGATACCCCCTCCACATTAAAGAGTCAAAATAGGTCACACTTAGGGGGTGCTCGCCAGGTATCCCCTTAGGTCCACATCATAGGTGAGGAAACTGAGGTTCAGGGAGGGACATGTCCTGAGTCACCTGCCTCACAGAACAGGTGGGACTCGGACCCAACGTGGCTGGCTTCAGACCCAAGATTCCAGGCCAAAGGACCCAGACGCTGTTATAAACACATCTGCTATTCCAGCTATGACAGACTTTATTCTTATTAAGCTGGCAATTTCCATTTTAACGCTTCAAAAAAGGGAATGCAAACTTCTAGCATTTACAACCCTTCGGTTCTGGCGTGATATTTACAGATCAACAGGAAAATCGGGAGGTGAGGAGACCCCTGCAGTAGCCAACCTTCCCTCTATACAGAGCACTGGACAAAGTCGCCCGCAGGAAGCCTCAGTGAGCAAGGCCGCCAGTTCGTTGCTGCTGAGGACCTGCTTCGTGAGACACCTCTCGGAAAAGCGGAGCCTGCGGGGGGCCCGTCCGGCTGGGACAGCTCTGCAGTGCGCACCGCGAGTGACTAGAATCAGTGCGGTTTTAATGTCTCGGTAACGAGGCTCCCCGGCCCTGCATCTTGATTAACTGACGTCTTGCCATCCGGTGGGCGAGAACGAACAAACAGAACAGACGCCTACAAGAGTAAGTCACTGCTTTCATGAGATGCAGGAAACATTGGGGGCGGGGGCGGGGTGGGTCCTGAAGGGGCAAGTCCAGAGAAAGAGAGAGAGAGACAGGCGGAGAGGGAGATACAAACAGAAACAGAGATGGAGAAAGAAAGAGGAGAGAGAGAGAGAGAGAGAGAAAGAATTCCTACCCTTAGCATCAAAACCACCATCTTCCCATCAATTTCCCCTTATTGTGCTGACTTTAGTGGTAACATACTGAACAGGGGGCTGAGTAACAAACAGTCTTCTTTGGTTATCAGGCGTGTGTTTATAGACGTGTGTTGGTAAGCGTGTGACCCCATTTGTGGCCTCTCTGCTCCCCTGGGAAGACCCCGGCCGGAGGGTCGAATGATGGCCAGCCAGCAGCCTGCCACTGCGGTGTGGGCTCAGGGGTAAGGAGCGGCCCTAGAGAGCACAGATGACCAGTTTCTTAATTTGAGAAGACTTCATCTTCAACACAAGCTTCCTGCACTACAGGGGGTCTTCGGCCTGAGGAAGGAGCCTTGCATCTAGCCCTATAGGAGTGTCACTACAGTTACGCGGGGGCACACGCCAAAGGGGCGGGGCGCCGTCAACAAGAAGCTCCCACAATACCTAAAATACATGCATCCAGGCACCACACGTGCAAGCTCTCTGCAGCGTCGCGGGGCCTCCCAGGGTCTCCCAGCACCGGGGGCTCAGGGCGGCCAGCTGCGCGGGCTCCGGAGGGCGGGACAACTCACCATCTGCAGGACGTCGGAGGAGACCATCTGCATGCAGCACATGGCCGTGGCCAACGCACACACGATGGTGGAGAGCACGTTGAGGGCGCACACGCTGAAGAGCAGGTCCTGGGAGAAAAGACGCGGGAGGGAGATCGTCAGCCTCGCCCTGGCCGTCCAGAGGGCAGATCCTCGGCATTTCTGTCAAGGTCCAGGATCAGTTTGCCAATTGCCTCCATGTCATGGAGGTTTTGTTTCGTGATTTTTTTTTTCGGGGGGGGGGGGGTCATCAAACTGGTCTTTACATGCTTAGGTAATGAAGCCTCCATAAAAGCCCAAGGACAGAGTTTGGAGAGGTTCAGGGTGGATGCACCTGGGACACAGGGGAGAGGGGCGCCTAGAGGGGGCAGGGAAGCCACGCCCTTTCCCCATGCCCCGCCCCTTTCCCCATGCCCCGCCCCTTTCCCCCACACTCTGCCCCTCCCCTATACTCCACCCCTTTCCCCAAGCTCAGCCCCAGGCGTCTCTTCTTCCATCTGGCTGTTACTGAGTTGTAGCCGTTTATAAAAACCCAGTTAATCTACTGAATAGTAAGTAAAACAAAAACAAAAAAAACCTGGCCTTACATACAGACCCGTTTTTTAAAAAAAAATTTTCCACAGTGCTCATCAAATTCTTCTTAGATCCTAAATGATGTATTTTACAATTGTGGTAATTGTTTGGTAGTCACTGTCTAAGAAAACCTTGAAGTGGCCACCATTTTAGGAGGTGGGCAAGCTTCGCGATTCACAAAATATAACTGAAAATTTGGCAAGCATTTAGAAAATGCCAAGTTTTTAAATTAAACGTTTTATCCTGAGATAACAGTAGATTCACCTGCAGTTGTAAGAAGTAACACAGGGAGATCCTGTGAAAGCTTAACTCACCCCCTACCTCCCCGGTGGTAGCGCCTCACAAAACCACCGCCCAATGTCGCGACCAGGGTGGACAATTTTATTATTGAGACAAAATATTCCCATCGCCGCAAGGACCGTCCACACACACACACCTTGTTGCCTTCTTCAGATGCACCTACACCTCTCTCTCTGTTCTGCGCTCAATTTCTTTCCCAAACCCTGTCAGCCATGAGTTTGGCGTCCATTCTTAGAATTTTGTCATCTCAAGAATGGCATACACATGGAATCAGCACGTGACCTTCCAGAATTAGCTATCTTCACTCAGCTAACTTCCTCAAGATTCTTCCAAGTTTTTGAATAGTTCATTCCTGAATAGTATTCCATGGCATTGATAAAGCACAGTTTACCTAATCATTCACCAGTTGAAAAATACCTGGGGTTTTTTTTTTGGCGGGGAGGGGGGGCTATTACAAATAAAGTTGCCACGAACATTTGCTTCCAGGTCTTTGTGTGACCGTAACTTTTTATTTCTCTGGCATAAATGCCCATAAGTGCAACTGCTGGCTCCTATGGGGTTCGCACGCTTAGTTTTATAAGAAACTGCCCGACTGTTTTTCCAGAGTGGCTGAACCATTTTACATTCCCGCCAGCAATGTGTGACGACTCGATTTTTCTCAGTCCTTGCCCGCTTTTGCTGTAACTATTTTTTTTTTAAACATTTATTTTCTTTTATTTTATTTTAGAGAGAGGGGAAAGGAGGGAGGAAGAGAGCGATAGAAACATTGATGTGAGAAAGAAACATCAGTCGGGTTCCTCTTGCACACCCCCGAATTAGGGACTAGAACCCACCGCCCAGGGGTGTGCCCCGACTGGGGATGGAACCGGCCACCTTTCGGTTTGTGGGACGACACCCAACCCACTGAGCCACACCGGCCAGGGCATCATTTAATGCAGCCCTGGGCTAGCAGAGGCAGCCTGCCACGGGCCCTGAGCTTGCCGGCCAGCTCTTGCCGGATGTGCCCAGAACTGGGGTGTTCCTTTTCTGCCCTTCACCCACCTCTCTGCCAGCGCTGTGTTTGCAGCAACAAGCAACCTTGAGGAAGGCGGTCACAACTCCCCCAGACAACATGTAGGTGCTCTACAAAGGCAGCAGGCTCCTGGGGCTCAGACCAGAAGGAGGTGGTAGGATTCATTTCCAAGTTTCCAGCCACACACAGAGAAATATTCACCACCACCTCTACATGACGGCGCGCATAAGCAAGACTCTGCAAGAACTCTGAACAAACATTCTAGTGGGCCGTGGGACCGGTGTGTGTGTGTTCCACCTGTGGCCTCTATTTTCCATCAAACTCCTCGAGTGAGGGGCCCTTGCGACAGATTGCTGGCCGTTCAATCTGACCCTGCAGAGAGCAGCTCTCACATGCAAAGGTCTTTGTGGCCGACCCGAACACTGACCCTAGAAAAGGGACTACCGTCCAACCGTCCGGCCGTCCAGTGGAGAAGGTCCGTGATTCATGGAGGAGCCTGCGGAAGCTATTGTTTCAAGACGCAAACACTCCATGTAGGATCTCTGCAAATGTAAGTCCTTTTTGGCCTTGATTTGGCATCGTAGGCGCCACAGATCATCTAAACGCTGCAAGAAGACAGGTTTGCTTCTCACACAACACATGCAGTTTTAATGTTCAGTGGCACTTTGAGCAAGGACCCACGAGGAAATTAATCCTCTCTCCACAATGATGCAGAGCTGTGCTTTACGAGGTCGTTCAAAAGCTGTCTTCTGCCCTCTGAAGCAACAGCTCTTAGCCTTTTGTTGATGGATGCAAATTGCCTAAACTATAATCTGCACAAGTAATCGTAAATCATAGGCTACGTATTTTCTTACAGTTCCATCAGGTGGTGGGTTTTTTTTTTAATCCTCACCTGAGGACAGGCTTGCTGATTTTAGAGAAAGGGGAAGGGAGGGAGAGACAAAGCGGAGAATGGGGGGGGGAGAGAAACGTGGATTGGCTGCCTCCTGCATGCACCCTGACTGGACGCCAAACCCGCCACCTGTGCCTCAACCGGGAATCGAACCCATCACCTTTCAGTTTATGGGATGACACTCCAGCCGACTGAGCCATTCTGGCCACGGCCAGTTCTATCAAGTTTTAAGATCAAGAAAACTATTTGACCCTGGTGCAGAACTCAGCACGCCCATGACCCCTGGTAAGGCCCAGAGAAGAGGTGTGGGGACACGCGGGCACAGACTGCCGTCGAGGTGGGAGGGGGCCTGGACGAGCCTCTGAGTAAGAGAGACGTGAGGATGGAGCCGACCCCGTGGGGAACCAACCGCACCGTCTGCACTGAGACCCCGCACAGGAGCGGGTGTGTCATCCGGATCAGGGACCAGCGGGACAGCGCCACCTCTGGCAGAAGAGCAAGGCTGCTTTCCTTCTCTCTCCACCTGCAGTGGCCCCAGACGGACTAGACCCAAGGGGAAGGGGACAGGGGTGTCCCAGACCTCCCCTCACAGATGCTAGCGGTGGAAGAGGAAAGAGGGACCGTAGCCCCCTCTTCCCGGGAAGGTGGCATCTAAACTGCACAGGGACTGCAGCTTTGAGTGGGACAAACGTCAATTTCAAGAACTGAAAGTGACCAGAAACTTAGAGAAACTGCCCGAACAGCATCCTTCAGGAAGGAGAGGTGCACAGCGCAGCTGATGGCAGCAACGGATGGATGCCAAGGACCCAGGTGGTGCCACACAGGTGGGCCTGTGTGGCAGGGTCATCCACACGCTGGGCACAGGGGCAGGAGCTCCACGCCCATGAAGGGAAGGCACAGCGGGCCCTGGGCACGGACCGTGAGCAGGGCCAGGGTGCAGAAGGATAGAAACCAAGGCCTTGGGCCTCAGGTAACGGCCGGCACGGAAGAGAACAGACCCGCGAGGGCTGCACTCTGGGGTCCTCTGACCCTGCTGGCCCTGACTCGGGCGGGCTGCTGGGGGCACTGAGCGTGGGCCTTTCCTCCCTGCGAAACAAGGCACTGTCCCCATGACCTTCGGCACGTCCCCTGTCTCTGGACGTCACAACCGGTTTCACAGTGCGCTGGAGCGAGCGGGGAGCTCGCCTGGACCGAGCGGCCAGCCCGCCTGGACCGAGCGGCCAGCCTTGCCAGTCACACCGATGGGGGGTACAGGCGGCAACCCTGTCCTCCTCCCTCCCCGGACTCCAGGGTGGCTCCCTGGGGGGGCTCCAGTCCCCCGCGCACTGCCTTCCCTACACGCAAACGACAGAGCTCCCGACACGTGACCTCGCCCACATCATTTTAAAAAAAGTTTAGTGCGCTTTCATTTAGAGAAAAGAGGGAAAGAACTGGGTCCACTGTTCACATGCATTTTTAAGCAGTTGGTTTTGATTTTCAGGAGTTAAAAAAAGAAACACTTGCAGAAAAATTTAAAAAAGGAAGAATAGAAACCATTTTCTATGTCATTAAGAAAATACACACAAAAAGAAAAAGAAGTAAAAGACCTTTAAAAAAAATCAGATGCTGTACATGATTGCTAGGGGAAACATGACCATTTCGTTTTCCAGGTTTCTTTAAAAAGGCAAAATCAACCGCCATCTGCTCCCAGATGGCGGGGCAGCAACCACGTGAGAAAAGCCGGAGGATCCTTCGCATCCACATCGGTAAAGACTTTTCCATCCACTCGGGGCCCCCTTCACACAGGTCAGGGGCGGGCCCGCGGCGTGGCAGAAACGGGAAACGAGGCCCAGAAAAAGCGATGCCCTTCCGGTGAAAATCTATACTCCCGCAGCAATGCTCCCTGGAGAGAGATCCCCCCTCCCCGGCAACGGAAAGGGAACACGTGCGCGAGCCGAACGGTCCCCAGACGTCTGCGATGCCCGACGCCCGGGAGACACGCCCGGGAGACACGCGCAGGGGCGGGCGCGGGGCGTCACCTTGAGGGTCAGCCGCACGGCGTTGCAGTCCTCGCGCAGCGGGTTCAGCTTCAGCGTCTCCCCCAGGTTGCTGCAGCCGGTCGACTGGTGCTGCGTTTCGCAGCAGACACACACCTCGACACTGTCAAACTTAATCTAGACAGAGGGACACAGACAGAGCTCACCATTAAAACGGCGTCCCGGCCCGGCGGGTGCCCTTGAGCTACGCACGCAGCGACACACGCAGCGACACACGCGTGCCAGCGCCTCAGCTCAAAGCATCCTGCTTCAGTGTAAGTCGACAAAGCCAAAACGATTGTCGTCGTTGTCGTCGTCGTCGTTGACAAAGCCATGGAAAACACCCGGAGGAATCCCTCCACATGCCTGCTGTAAAAGCAATCAATACAGAAGGAAAAAATAAAGTGGAAGACACCCAAGCTACACGGTGGCAGATTATAGATGCATGATAGGAGGAGACTGAAGTTCCTGTGTGCTCCTGAGGGCAGCCCTCACCTCCCCGTGTGCACATACCCGAATACACAGTGAGGGGCAGGCGTTCAAAACCTGCTGAAGAAATAAACGTGTCTTGAAAAATGTAAAACCATGGAGGCTTCGGATTAAAAAAAAAGGAATTCGGGTGTTTTCAGTTTTTTGTTTTGTTTTAGTATTTTTATCCTCGCCTGAGGACATTTTCTCATTGTTTTCAGAGAGAGAGGAAGGGGTGGGGGAGAGAGAAAGAGAGAGAAAAGAGAGAAACATCGATCAGTCGTCTCCTTTACGCACCCTGACTGAGGACTGAACCCGCAACCTTTCCGTGTACAGGATAATACTTCAACCCGCTGAGACACATGCCTTTAGTCTTCCAAAAAATTCTCCGAAGCCGAACGCAGCCTCTCACACCACCACCAGCTGGCGCACTGACACAGACAGGTTCCTAGAACACTCACCTAGAGGGGGAAGCCTGGACCACAAGGGGCCCGCCCTCCAGGAGACAATTCTGGGTTTTGCGGGGGGTCACATTTGCTCTTTTAATTCCATCTCCTAAAATAATTCCAGTTTTATTTCTGGATTTCTTTTTTTTTTTAATTTTATTTTAATTTATTTTTTCAAATAACATTTCTGGATTTCTGCACATTTGAGTAAGTGGGGGGCAGGCAGCGCAGTCTGGGGAAGAGACATTTAAGGGCTGGAGGCCAGGCACGGGGAGGCGGGCCCCGCACAGACCACCGCCCACACCTCGGCCACTTTGCCCCCAAGCAGCAGCAGATGCAGCCAGTTTCCACAGGGGACAGGAACCAGGGTTCCGGGGGCAGCGCCCACAGACCGGGGCCAGCAGGGTCAGCCACACGCTGGGCCAGGCCTCAGCCTGGGGTGAGGGCGGGGCTTCTCTCAAAGCAGCTCCGGGCTGGGACCCAGGGCCACCTCTCCTTTCCCGGCTGTGCAGCCCCCACGCCTGGCCATCCTGAGGACTCTGCGAGCTCTCTGGGGTTCTAGGATCATTCCTTCCAGGCAAAAACTACCTTGAGTTGCTTTCTTCACCACTGAGGACACTGCCTGAATCAGGAGGCACACACACTGCTCCCCCAAGAAAAGCTACCATCCCAGCCACGCCTGCCCTTCGTGCGGAATGCGGACACGGGCCCGTATTCCCCTCACAGTGCCAACGGAGCGGAAGGAACTGGACAGAATGACTTTAAAGAAGCTGTGCAATAGTAAGTTATTTTCTACTATTCAGAAATTTTGACAAAGAATGATAATGGAGGACGAGATGCCTTAATGGATATTGAATTTATTTTCAAGGTGCTTAAGCAAAACATTAATGTAACGGTCTTGGCTGGGTGGCTCCATCGCTTGCAGTGTTGTCCCCTCCCCCACACCCTGGACAAGCAAAAGGGTTTGACTCCAGGTCAGGGCACATGCCTGGGTTGCAGGTTCAATCCCCACTGAGGGTGCAGACCGATCAGAAGGCAACCGATCGATGTTTCTCTCTCACACTGATGTTTCCCTTTCTCTCTCTCTCTGTCCCTTCCTGTCTCTCTATAATCAATAACTATATCCTTGCATGAGGATTTAAAAAAATACATTAGGTTAATGGCTTAATGTTAATAGCTAAAGAGTTCAACGAGATACGATAGTTTCCAAAATCAAACCAATAATCTCCAGGAACTTAGTAAATGAAAAAAGTAGCATTTCGATTCAGTAGGAAAGAGAGTGTTTACTTTGAAGTGAGGTTGGCAAGTAGGTTATTCATCTATATAATTGTCTCCAGACATATGAGAATAAAATATAGTTGACTAAGATCTAAATAAAAACAATAAAAACACAGGGAAATGTAAAAGAATGGTTGCATAAACATGGAATGTAGAGTTCTCTCAAAATGATTCAAAAATCTCAGAAGTGATAAAGCCTCAGAACAAGAGACGAAGCAGCATGGAGCCTCTGACCAGCCAGGCGCGGCCGCAGCCGTGAGAACACGCACCTTTCTCGCCGAGGCCGCGAAGCTTCCAGGCTGTGGGTCTGCAGCCCAGGATGTGTCCTCAAGAGACGGGCAAAAAGTTAAACACAACCTAATGGCATTAGTTTGAGGGGATGAAAAATGAGGACAGGCAAGCAGTAACTTTGTAGCCAGTACATCTGAAAATCCAGGGGAAAAAAATAGATGATTTTCTGTGAAAATAGGAATAAAACGGGCAAAGAAAAGAACAGGTTTACAAAACTCTGAACAGACTACGAACCACAGAAAGACTCTTACAAGACAGCAGCAAGGGACACTGAGGGGGCCTAAACAATTAGCCATGTCCTTGAGATCCGCAGCGGGGATGAAGTCCCCGCGTGTCCCCCACCTGTTGGTGGCTGCCCTGGAGAGCCCACGCCCGGGGCCCTGGTTGAGGGGCCGGCCGCTCGGCCGAGCGAGCGCCGGGCACCACAAATGCCCACAGTAGTCGGGGGGGGCAGCCCAGGAGAACACACCCCAGATGGCCTTCCAGAAAGCTCTTCCGGCTTTGAGGTTCATCAACTCATAAAAAGCAGCCGCGAGAAAAGCACAGAATGGTTGTTTCCATTTTCTTCTTCCCACAGAACTGCATCGGCACCCAGGAGCGAAGGTCCACGCGGGCCAGTTCGCCCCACGCCACGCCTGTGGCGTGCAGCCAGGCGTGGGCCGCCTTCGCGGCCTCTAGACCTGGGAGGGTTGCTCTGGGCTTCAGGGAGGCTCTTTGCTCTTCCCTACTGGACAAGCCCAGCCCTCCCGACCCAGTCTGCTCTCCCACACCTTAAAAACCGTGCGAGGAGTTCTCTCACGCGGTCCAGCCCCCGGAAAGGGCGAGTACAGGACCTGCTGTAAACGGACAGGGGCAGGAGCGCTGCCTCGGGGGAAGAGGGGGAGGGAGCCTGGCCTTGCCCGCGAAGCGCAGTTTATCACGTCAACTAACCCTTCGGTGACCCGGGGACACAGACGTCAAAATAAATCTTTTCCATCAGTATTTCACTGAATTTGTGATTAATTCGAAGGAAAAGTCTGGAAACCTCCGGAGGGGTCCCCTGACCCTGACATCCTGGCGTGCGGGAGGCTGACAGATTTATTTCCGGAGCGGCCCTCGGCGTCCGGGTCGCTGGGCACGGCACTGCCAGGCTGTGCAAATGAAGCTGCGGTAATTTTTCATGGGTCTCTTTGGAGCATTTCACAGCCAGGCGTCCCTCTTATTTATGGTCTACCGGCCTGTCTAGGAGTAAAAAGGGCCGTTATGACAGGAAGAGGGGGTGCCCCTGAGGTTTTTACTAAAGCACCAGCGAGGCAGGCAGGTGACCTCCGGGCTCTCCCCAAAGGCGGGCAGTGGGGGGCTGAACCTGGAGCGGGGCAGGCAGGGCAGGGAGTGGGGAACTTGAGGCGGGTGCTGAGCATCCCAGGGACGCCCAGTGGGCATTCCGTCCTCGAGGGGAACTAACTGGCCGAGACACAGAGGAAACAAGGCACAGGGGACAGAGTCCCTTACAGGGCGACCATCGCCTACGGAGTGACCCACGACAAGCCACAGAACCGCTGCAAGCTGTGGGTTTCTGGGGTCAGGGTGAGCATCGGATGAGGTTAAGGAGGTACGAAGTACAAGATATTAAATAACACCCACGAATGTTTGTTGGTGTTATTTTATTATCTCGCCTGTCAGATAGGTTTGTAAACGCTTGCCGCTATTTTGGAACCCATCGAGGATGCCACTACTGTGACAGATCTCCTCGTTCACCTGGTGACACCTGCCTGGCTCAGTCACCTGGCTCACCCAGTCCCGTCCGGGTCCTTTCTGAGGGGCGCCTGCCAGTGAGGCCCCAAGGCACACATGGGTCCCTCATGCACATGGGCACTCCCAACCCTGATCAACGCTGCGAAGGTCCCCAAAACACCGGTAATCAGTCTGCACTACGACAACGCTGAAAACATCTTGCTCAGTGACAGACACGAGACATGAAAGGCCACATGGTGTGTGATTCCATTCACACGAAATGTCCAAAACAAAACAAAAAAAATCTAGAGACCCAGAAAGTCAATCTGTGGTTGTCTGGGGCTGGGGGGCGCGGAGCAGGAATAGGGATGGGATGCCTGAAGTTTATGGGGTTTCTTTGTCAGTTGATGGAAATGACCTAAAATTAACTGCGATGATCGTATGTATCGGTGAAGATACTAGAAACGACTGAACTGCACACTAAAAACAAGTGAGCAGTATGGTCGATAAATTGTATCTCAAAAAAGGTCCTTTAAAAAAACAATTACAAGCACATTGTAGGACAGTTTTAGGGGTTTCAACCTCTTCCACGTTCTGCTGGATACCTACCCTTCGCAAGTGTGCCGTGAACACACCAGGTGGGAGACCAGTGAACCCTGCCTCCGCCACAATGGCCTCCCCTGAGGTCTTGCTGGGAGCCCGGCGTTAGGGGGGCTCTCTGCGCCGGATGGCAGTGGGCCACCCCCGTTCCTCCCCAGGGTCCAAATCCAGTGTCCACAGCTGTTCCCGCATCCAAACCCTTCCCCAGCCCCTCAGATTCTTCCTTACTCTGAGACACCAGGGACTGGGTGCGTGTTTGGGCCAGAGAGGCACTGGGTCCCTGCCAGGCTTGGGGCTGCACCAGCCAGTCATTTGGGGAGGGAGGGGGGATCACCCTGGCTT